AGGTTCAGGTGATATGCCGCTTCCAAGGATCTAGCTTGGATAGTTTAAGAGCTGCAGACTTCCTTTTGTTGTTACTTTTCTGTATTACTTGTTTTATTTCCAAGCTGAGGGCTTTAACTGTAAAAAGGCTTCTAACCCTCTTTTGTTGTAACCAAGTGTTGACTTGGAAAGTTGTAAACCTGTAGGGTATTTACTTTTGTTGTCAACATGTAATATTTTTGTAGAAAATACTCTGATGAATAGAAATATAATATCTCTTTTATGATTTTGGAATCTTATAAATGATTGATTTGGGTATTATTTTGAGGGCGTTACAGAGTCACCAATTTAAGGATTCATGACTGGGTGATTCATCACCCAGGGGCTTGTGTATATAAGAGGGTGGGGGGCTGCGAATTGAGTAAAGGAACGAGGGGAAAAAAAGAAAAAAAAAAAAGAGACAGAAAGGAGGAAGAAAATAGTCTCGAGAAGCCAGCATAAATAGGAGGGAAATAGTAAGAATTAATATTAAGGTGAGTTATATTATACATTGACTCACCATAATATATTTTATGTATGTTTTGAGTTATCATAATTTATTTTACGTAAATTGGGTTTTATAAATTATATTACTATTTTAATTACGGTGATTATTTTTCGAACTCTATTTGCTCAAATTGAAACCCATGGATATGTTTTAATAATTATTTAACAATGATTTTATAAACAATTATGTTTTGTAAGTGTCACGACCCAAACTCGCCCCTATAGGTTTAGCATCGTAACCGGCCAGTAATCCTTGGACTACCGAAGGCCTCTAAACAGATTAACAAGATTAAGGGGCTAGCGGAAGCAAATACATAAATATAGTTGTCCAATGAGCTGTGCTGACTTATATGAACAGAATATTTAAAACTTTATATAAGTATGCAATAGTCATTCATACATTATACCCACACACATTAAAGTATCTTAAGTACAGCCAACAAAACTACCAAGTCTTATATGTACAGAAACAACGGAACTTAAACATAAGACCCTTCGGGAACCTCCACATGAGGCACAATGGTTGGCTGACAACAGAACACAGATCCGAACAAAAGCCTTCAGGCTCGAACTCCAGAATGCCCACCTACATATATATATATATACACACACAGTGAGCTAAAGCCTAGTGAATACCATTTAGGTAAAGGGGTTAGTGAACGAAATCCGAATATATTATAAGCAGAAAACAGACCAGAGCATAATCATTCTCATATCAGAACATAATAATGGTACATCCCATAGAACACATCACAGAACGTCTTCCGACTAGAGTAATCGGTTCCGGATACTGATTAAACACATATCACCACAATGAAGTGGCTAACGAGATCTCATAAACTTGTATGTCATGGACCCGCATTTTTATGCCGTCCCCCATGACTTGGGACTATCTATGGATGCCATAATAGATTTCAAACTTGGAATATTCGTTCACGAAAACAGATATCATTTCAGAAATCATAGCTTATCACATTTCATTTAGAACATAATTCATATCAACATATCTTTACAAAAATGTTACTCACAGTGGTTCCAGTAAGTGGTCAATCAATCCTCGAGTCTTGACCTACAATCACAAAATACATAACACAAGCATGTCTTATCATTACACATTCATGTGGCCAACACGGCTTAGCTTACATCATATTGATTCTTGTTCTTCCTTAACACATTGCTCAAAACACACTCTTGAATCTCATAACTTAGTACATTCTTTCCTTAGTGTGTTTCTAATCCATAACCTCATTACTATGGCTTAATTAAGGCTTAGGAATGCCTAAGATGCAATGAGGATGCCAAAACATGCCTTAGAACACTTAGTCAAATTTTTGAAAATAAGGTCCACGCTCGAGCATAGATTTCCTCGCTCGAGCGGACATGCAAAATGTGAATGGTCGCTCGAGCGCACATTACTTCGCTCGAGTGATCTGTAAAAGACATGAAATTTCTGGGAGCTTGCAATTTACGCTCGAGCGGACTTTTGGTCGCTTGAGTGGAGTGTACGAATTCAGAGTGGTCGCTCGAGCGTGAACTCCCACGCTCGAGCGTAGATGCAAATTCTGAAATTTCTAGATTGCACCTTCAAGCTCAAAACTCGAATTCCAACCTTCAAAACACATCTCTTGGGCCCTAAAACTTGAGATAACATAGTAAACTTGTAAAACATGAAGAATTTAGGATTATTTCATAAAATCATGGCTCAAGGGTTTGCCAAAAGTTCCCAATTTCAACTTAAACTTCAAGATTGTTTATGAACACAACATGCATGGATTTTTCTTGTATCAAACTTCTCAAACACATGATCAAACACCATAAAACAACTTAAAACTTGATGATTTCCCCAAATGAAGATGAATTTCAAACATGCAAGAGAGGATTTATGGAAATCATGCTCAATTGGTAAGAAAATGCACATGCATGCATGAATTGCCAGTCAAATCTTCCTTCTAAGCTCAATACACACCCTTAAACACATAATCTTCATGTTGATAACTTAGATTCATAATTTAGGGGTTGAATTCATACCTATAGTCTTGAATTAATCTAGCTCTAGCTTAGTTTTGATGAATCTAAAGCCAAGGTCTTCAATTCTCCTTCAATTCCTTCCTCTCTCTCTCTCTCTCTCTCTCTCTCTCTCTCTCTCTCTCTCTAAAATGAAACCCTCAAATTTTTCCACAAAGGGAGATAAAAGAAATGAGCTCAAATGAGCTTATGGGTTACATGTATAGTTATGGGGCTAAAAATACTTTAATTAGAACATAAGGCTTGCCAAACGCAACTTAACGAATCAGACTGAATCAATTTTTAATAAAACGCGCCATATGGTTCTAAAAATTCCAAATAACATATCGGTGTAGTCAATTTTGGTTTCAGATGCCGATAAGGCTTTCAATTTACATATTAAAGTGGAATTCCAAACAGATATTTCTATAAGTAACAGATAGAAGGCCAAATATCATGCACTTTACATATTAATCCCATAATTCACTTGATCCACTCAATTAGCATCTTTAATCATTGATTAGTAGCTAATTACGGGCCGGGGTTATTACAGTAAGTGCCACCATAGGAGTCTCATGCCTTAGGGGACTTAAATCACCATTGGCTTGTGTTTGGCTACTTTGTGGTCCTCTGTTTGTCATGGATCCATTGACTTCTGTTATGACTGTCACTCATGTGACCTCTGTTCTGTTCTGTTCTGTTCTATAGCATGGTTATGGTTATTTATTTACATAATTTATGTATTTCAGTTTCTGCCACTTAACTAATTTGTTTATTCAAATTAAGTTATGCAAATGTTTTGGCTTAAATAACTATCCATGATTGTTTTGTATACTCTTGGCGTAATATTTTTCACTCTGCTGTATACTTATAACTGTTACCCTTTCAGGTGACGAGATGTAAGAAAGATCCGTAAGCTCATGTAATGGAACCTAAACGAGAATTGATACTGATCCGTTATTATTATTTTTTTTTCTTCCTTTTCTTCATTTTATTTTTTTTTGCTGAAGACCGATCACTGTATAATAAAAAAATAAAATAAAATAAAAGCCTTATAGATGTACTTTCTTTTATCAAAATAGTCAAATGAAGTAAATTTTCTGTTTAGTTATTTTCTTACTTCCATTTTGCCTTCGCCTACGCCATTTAATTTATTAAGCTTAGAATTAATTAGTAAGTTGTGATTCCAACCCTAAGCCCCTGGGGTTGAGTTGTGACAAGTCAATGCCTTCACTATTGGGCCACCACCCCCGGTGTTAATTTTATACATATATACTAGGAGTGCAATCTAGACGGTCTCAACTCGAGCAACTTGAGCTCAGCCCAAACAAATTTAGGATTTAGGCAAAATATTTTTAAATTCGGTATGGTCTTCGGTGAAAAAGTAGAAGCCCGAATTAAGTTTGAACAAGTTTAGACAAAGATACCAAAACAACCCAAGTAATTTAAAACCCGAATTATATATATAAATATTAAATATACATATAAATTATTAGTCATTAGATGATATTAAAGCAATTTATATCGTTAGATTATATTGAATATATATTATATACACAAGTAACATAATACAAAATTTTACTTATTTATTTTTTCTTACTCATAAATTATAAAGACCATCATAACAAACATCTCTCTTATATTATATAAATTATTTGTTTTGATGTTATTAATGATTTTATAAAAATAAAAAATTGTAAACAATCTAATTTTAACAAATTAATTAGCTTAGTTGCTCTAAAAAATGAAATTTATGTGCAATTTAGACAATTCGGTTTTAACTCAGGTTAAACTTGGACAAACAACATTGAGTCACAATTCAGACTTGGGCGAGTCTAGACAACTCTCAGCACAATTTGAGTTGGATTTAGACAACCTCTACCGCACCCAAGTTGCACCCCTAATATATACACAACTATTAAATCTAAAAAACAAAAAAAATTGAATATTGAGTATCCATTTGGCAATGTAATTTTTTATTAATTTTTTGATGAAATGAAAAAAAAGTTAGTGTGTTAAGAATAAATTTTTTAGTTAAATAGATAATTGTAAATAAAAAAATAATTAATTGATATACTATATAGCATGATTTTTGAAACTTTTTAGTTAAAAAACAAAAAACAAACTAACAAACTAACAAACAAGCTCCTTCAAAAGACAGAACTATCAAATGGTTACCTAAAAAAAAAAAAAAAGATAAGAAGAAAGATTTGAAACAATTGTGTCTGAATCTGCTATAGACATTTCTGAACTTTCAAGGTTCACATAAATGAAAAATGCTTGGGAACACTAAAAAGGAATCACTAAAAGGAGCACTAATGATGTGACAGTGAGCCCCACCCACTTTCTATGCCTTGTTTTTATTTTATTATTATTTTTTTTGTCATTTCTAATATATTAGTGCTATTAGTGATGTATTTTTTAATGGTCTAAATCATTGTTGCACATAAATTAGCCACTCAGAGAAAAAATGATCACAATCAGAACATCCAGCAATTTTATTAAAATAATAATAAATAAATAAAAATACAACGCGCTCGGTTTCCACCGGAGTAAGTCAGGTTCGAATCCTGAGGGGCACGCTCTCTCTGCGGAGACTCTGTATTATATTTTGATCGAAATTTGGCCTCTTCTGTGGTGTCTCGGTGGTGGGTCGCTTCTTATAGATTGAGTTAAATCTAGTCGGCAACGGTTACTCTAAAAACATGACCCACAAATGCTATAATGCCCTTATGAAGTGCCCTTTTTTTTGGTGTTCAAAAAAAAAAAAAAGCATATCGAAACCTTGAAACAAATAGCATTTTTAAATCATCGCCTCAGAACCAGAACAGAATTTTTTTTTTTTTTGAACGAGTAACCAAAACAGAACTTAATTAAGCAATAGAAGCAATTCTGGGAGCCACAATCTCTAAAAGTCCCTTCGGATTGTCAACATGAACCCAATGGCCGGAGTTGGGAAGAACATGCACTGAAAACTTCCCCTCAGATTCATCAAGGCTCCGACCGGCAAGACTTTCAAGCCTCTGAATCACATCTGCATCCCATCTGTCGCTCTTCTCAGCTTGCACAATAGCTATCTCCATCTCTTTTGGTGGGTGTTCCAGCAAAGGCCAATAATCCGTCTCCCTAAAAGATTGCATATTCTTACTCAATTTCTACTATGCAGACAAATAAAATGAAATAAAAAATAAAAAATAAAAGACGTCATGAAATGAGGACTGACTTCAAAGTGAAAGTGTATGTTTACCGGTAAGAATTGAACATCTGGACAGCACCGTCAAGATTAAAAGCCCATGTCTCGTGGTCTCCTGATTTTTTGAGGTTGCTGCCTATCCATTCGGACAATGATTTGGAGAACCCAAGCTTAATCATGTGGTCCACAAGCCACCTGAAGCCAAGACCGTATTGAACTATATGACTTGCAATATTAAATGTTCAAAAGAAATCATGTAAACATCTTGATTGAGAACATAAAGAAATTTGATAAAAAATAATTGAACCTTAGAAGTTTTAGTTTACTGAGGAATTATATATATTTTTTTGGATGTTGAATTTGTTTAGGATTTTAATTCTTAGTTTTAATTTGTTTCTTTATTGGTTGGTGATTACTTGTTCGACCTTCACAAAATTTGGAATGTGCATAGTCCTGTATGATAGTAGCAAGTATGATTCTTGATTTGGGACTCGGTGTTTTTCTCTCTTCTTCTATCATCAGACAAGTTTAGACAAGTTAATTGTACAATTAAGCTGGTGAGTTGAGCTCAAGATTGACGTCATGGTGACAAGCCAAGCTCAACCAATGTTAGCCACGCTTAACAACATTCCTGACTGTGCTGAACTCAAACAAACCAAAACTCACAGCCAGAGTTATCTGAAAGGGGATCATTTTGGAATTTTAAGATCCCCATCATTACTTGTCGTAATGGCTGCTATTTTCTACACTCAATTCATTTCCCATAATGGATTTGTACAAGATGTACATAGTACACAATGAGGCAACTCAATTTCCTACTAAGGCGGGTACACAACCACACAGAGAAATAAGTCTATAGGTCAAAAGAAAGGAATAAAGATTTTACTTTCGTGATGGGACTGATGTAGGTAGACTCTGCAAGGTCTGCAAAACTTTCTCCACTTCTCCATCACTGTTTTCAGTGTTCACTTTTCCAGGGCCCGAGTCCAGTACCCACAGCTGTCCTGCATCAGGTTTTTCATCCGTTAGTTAAGTTAAATATACGTCATCAAATTTATCCAGCAAAGGGAAGTCAGAATTCAATTCAATAAATGAGCTACACATGGCTCACTTGACAAAAGATTCCACAGAACACACACATGCACACTCTCTCTCTGTAGCATAGGGTTTATGTATCTAATATAATAGACAAGAATTGAGGATTGGAATCAAAATCCTATTCCTAAAAAAGATTGTACCCAATGCACAAGACTCTGCCTATAACAAAGTCTAAAAGAGACCTTCCTTCCACTTTTTGGTGGAGAGACTAAAACTCCAGTGGCTCAAACCCACGCCACCATGCTAGGAACAAATAGCAATTGCCATCAGTCCAAGTCACAACCTCTAAGAGAAATCCTATTCCTATCCTTGTAATTCTCTCATACTTGGATTGCAGTCATTCATAACGAGAATCCCATTCTCCAAGAATGAAATCCACACTAAGAATAGGGATTCTATCCAAGCCAAAAGGGTGATAACCTTATTCCTAATTCTTTAGAACAAACTTTAATACTTGGCTAATAAGGTTGGTTGCATGAATTTTTCTTTGTCCAAATAACACTATCTAGAGGATCTCATCCATTTAAGCCCTCATACTAGATGAAAAACCCAAATGGACCTAGAGCAGGTTGTAAATATGTATTAAGAAGAAGAAGAACTAAAAATTTTAAAGAAGAACTAAAAATTTTATAGAAGACCAAACAAAAGGGAAAAACTAAAGGAGATTGAGACCCCTCAGTACAGTTAAGTGAAACAAGTTGAAAGCAACAGATTTGTAACCCATATGAATCCCATTCGTGAGATTAATTGCATCAAGCAGGGCGCAGTCAAACAAGCCATTTCAGAGAGCCCAAACTCCAGCCAGGTATGGCAAACTCAATCGTAAAAGTAATATTGATTGCCAATCGCCGCAAAAAAACATGCAATCAACTTCAAAAGCATATTATATTTAATACAAAAAAGGTCTTACCCTGTGCATATTATATTTGGTAGAAAGATAGAAAGAAAACCTATGTCAAATGGAGTTTGTAGCATAAAAAAATTAAGAGTTAGTTGAAATGAAGCGGGCCAAGTTTATAAACATGCAACCTGCCCGTAACCTGTCTACCTACCCTTTATCCTAAAACAAGTTATAGAAAGGGAAAATTAGTATATCCAGCTTTTGCTCAATTAGCCAGATGTATCCAGTTTTCCAAATACCATTTTCTTTCAAAAGAAAATGAACTCATCTGTGGGAACTTTCATTGATTATTGACACGATGATGCTCCAATAAAGCATCTTAAAGCTAAAAAACATGGTTATAAAAATGCTTCACACTGCAAAGGGAAAGCTTAACTAATAACCGACGAACAACTTCTAGCACTTCCAAATTAGAGCAACAGTGACAAAACTAGCATGATTTTGCTACTAGCAAGCCTAAATTGATATCTAACACCCAAACTAGTAGAACATATATCTTACATTGATAGTTCTAACAAGTCCAACTGTTTTATCACAATAAAAGCGTCAAATCTAGAAAAGAAATTTGCAGTACAGGTCAGTTACGAAGCTTTGGTAAAGAAATACCTGTTTAGGCAATTGAGCAGATTGACCATAATCACCTCTAGCACAACTCTCAGCAAATTGCAAGGCAACCTTACCACCCATAGAGTGACCTAGAACAACATCAGGCCAAGCCCAACCTTGAGACTTCACCAAATCAGCCACATCTTTAGCAGCATTGGCCATGTCATGGGGTGGGGATAAACTCTCTATCTCAGCCGATCTACCATGGTTCCTCAAATCCACAAGAACCAACCTCCACTCTTTCAAAAATAAAAATAAAAAACACCTTCAACTCATAGAGAACTCACAGAGAACTGATATACACACACAAACAGGCACATATATGCACATTAAAACATTGAAAAAATGGATAGATTCAAACATTAATGATGTGTTTAGATCATGGATTTGGGTAGGGATTTAGAAATAAAGGGAGGAATGGAGAAAAAGTTTAGCCTACATTTCATTCAAATTTGCCTTACCTTTTTCCTTTTCCTTTCCAAACCCTTACCCAAATTCATCATCCAAACACAGCCTAACAGTTCATCATCACTTTTGGATGATTGAGGTGACCAAAATTGTGAGAAATAATGAGAAAAATAAATAGACCTCATGGTTTGTTTCTCATCAAAATTAGTGAGATTCGGTGAGAAACCAAGTCATTGCACATATATATATATTGATACCTAAATTATCCGACAAAAATTCTAAAAACAAAATATTGAAAATTAAAAATTAAAAATCATATGTAACACACTGATGAAAAATCACAACTATTTCTTTTCTACGAGAAATGATAATCTTATCATTACTTTTCTAATCAAACAGGAAAACATATAAAAATCCAAAAACGAAATCAACTCACATATTATATATATATACATATATATATATATATATATAGAGAGAGAGAGAGAGAGAGAGAGAGAGAGATACCATTAGAGAGAGAGGAAGAGAGGGAACGAGAGAAGGATCGCCAGTTTCGGCCAGACCCCAAGAGGCCGTGCAGCACAAAAGCAGTGAAATTGTAGGGTTTCTCAGTAGTAGTAGATGCTCGAACCTCTTCGAAAGCTAGGGTTTCCAGAGACCTGGTCGTAGTCGTGGTTCGACGGAGATCCAGACTTGGTGAGCTCAGAAACCGGTTCAGGACGGCCAAACCCGATTTGTTCCTCATGGTTCTCGCCATTTTCGACCGCTTTGATCTTCTCTTAACAATGTGTATATGAAACTTCTCTTAACAATGTGTGGAGGACGAACGATAGAACAATTGTGTGAAACGGGGTCGTTTTTAATGATTTAGGAGAAAAAAAAGTTGACAGTTGTGGGATTTGAACCCACGCCCTTTCGGACCAGAGCCTAAATCTGGCGCCTTAGACCACTCGGCCAAACTGTCATTTGCTTCTTAAAATATTATAAAAATATTATATATCTTATGAAAATTCTAATAAGATATTTGAGATAATCTAAATTAGCATACTTTTTAACTGTTTTTTAAAAAATGTGTTAAAAAAATAAAAAGATAATGTAATTTAAGGGAAAAAAAAGATAAAAAAAGAAAAACTTAAAATATACACTTTATAATAATGCCAAATAGTGCCTAAGTGGAACCTTAATCAAGTGTGTCACATGGTTTGGCAGCAGTGAATAGTTTGGGGGTTTGGGCTATCTAATGACGGTTTTGGAATCACGAGCACTATCAGTTTTGGAATCAGTTTTGGCTGGGAAGTTAGTTATTTTAATTGGTTATTTGGGGTGATTTTAGGTGTTTTAAATAAGTATATTTTTTAATTTTTTATAAAATAAATGTGTAAAAAAATAAAGAAAGTAAATAAAAAAATAGAGAGGAGATGCTGATAGATGTAACCCAAATAAGTATATATATGTAAAAAAATTATATTTTTTTAGTGCATGCCAAACACCTACTTAATTTTTAAGTCGTGTTTGAGAAAGATATTATTTTTTTAAGTTGATTTGATAGTTGTGAGAGAAAAAAATAAAATGATTATGGATTGGATATGATATTTTGTCTTATTGATTATTTTAACTTATTTTAATTTCGTTTGACATTGGCTAATAAAGTCAACTTTTTTGTGTTGAGACTTTTTTAGCTTGGCTTTTTTAGCCTCATTTCGTTTGGATTTTTTAGTTTTTTTTTTACTTTTGTGAAAAAAAAGGTATAATGATTATGAGTTTGATATGATATTTTATCTTATTAACATATTTATCCTATTTTGTCATTTTGTGCTTTTTTTAGCTCTAAAATGATAGTTAAACTAGGGCTTTGCCTTTTTATTGTCTATTTTAACTACAAAAAAAAAAAAAAAAAAAAAAAACCTAAAAAAAAAACTTGCCAAACAGGGCCTAAACAAACCAAAAAATGTCTAGAATTTTATTTGAACGGTTAAAATTCACTTGAAAGATGGATCCTACAACAAAAATCTAAAATATGGACCATAGATCTCAATTCTTGACAATTATGTGAGTATTTTTTCTGGGATCATAGGATTTTTATTTTGGAATTTATGATGAGAAAAATTAGATGAGATTTTTTATGGCTAGGGCAAATGCGTAACGTGAATGATAAAGGTTCATGGATGTTGATAATAAGAAGGCATTCAATAAGGGATGATCATGAACACTAGAAAGCAATGGAGATAAATTGTTCTCACTTCAATAAGAGAAACATTTAGATGAGTGGAGTTTTAAGTAATTGTTATGTCTTATGTGAAATGAAATTTCAAATTAAGATGACGTTAAATACCAATTACATAAAATACTTTATCAGGTTAAAAAGTCCTATTGTCTTTGTACTATTGTGTATTTGACGGTGCACAAAATTGGAGGCTTTTCCCAATATAAGCATTTTTTCCATTGTATTTTCAAAACTAGGCCAACTTCTGACGGAATTCCAAAACTAAGCTAAAACGCCATTACTATTCGCGCTTTTACTGTTAGGAGGCCAAAAGTTGATGAATAGTGAAATCGCTATTTGAAATTGCGATTTTAATTAAGAAAATGCTGTTCCAAATCGCGCTTTTAACATAAAAAAATTTTCTGAAGAAAACGCTATTTTATATAAAAATTATATTATTTCAATGCTTGAGTGTTGTGGGTGTGCCCATTGGTGTGTGTGTGTCAGTGTGTGGGTTGGCTTTGGTTGGTGATTCAACAGTAGAAACGCCATTTCAAATGGCGTTTTTTAAAATAAAAAAAAACAAATTATTATATGCACAGTAAAAGCGCTATTTTAAATAGCGTTTTCTTCAGAAATTTTTTTTATGTTAAAAGCGCGATTTGGAACAGCGTTTTCTTAATTAAAATCGCGATTTCAAATAGCGATTTCATTATTCATCAACTTTTGGCCTCCTAACACTAAAAGCGCGAATAGTAATGGCGTTTTAATTTAGTTTTGGAATTCCGTCAGAAGTTGGCCTAATTTTAAAAATACAATGGAAAAAAGGCTTATATTGAGAAAAGCCTCCACAAAATTGTCCCAGCAATGTTGTTATGGCATGAGAGTGGAGAATCCATGGCAGACAACACTTTTAGAGCAAAAATTCGTGTTTTCTTAAAACCAAGATTATTATGGTGTCGTGTGAGAGAGAGAGAGGAACTTGATCTAATGGTGGAGAATTTTTCATGACCATTTTCATGATATTTTTTTCATGATACCTAATATTATTCAGGATGCAATGGGTTGTGTTCAAGGTCATTGATCCCACGCCCACCGTTGCATTCACGCTAGTTGGACTAGAGCTCTCCAGTTACCCATGAACTGGGTTGGAAAAATACATTGGCACATTCATTACATAAAAAGTATTAGGATTATTAACTTGTTAGTAATGAAGGAAGGTGTCAAGAGCTTTTGCATAACCAATATTCCATGTAATATATATTTTGTGAAAGTACTTCATTATCTTCAAAACAAATGCATGCAAATCCTATTTTTATAGAGTACTAAAAAATTGTATAACTGGGTACAGACAAATATCAGTGGACATTTTGCCCTTCTCAACAAATACAATTTTTGGGGTAAAATTACATGAAGCAACAGAATTACATCCTATGATGAGGATCTTCACTCTCTTTTAATCAAATGGATCAATTCGCGGGTCATGTTCACTTGCCATAACCATCCCTGTGCAAAGGCATGTTGGGCACATTACCTAAGTGAACACCAAATGTAACTAGTCAGCATGAGTCAATTATAGAATAAAGTTGGGATTACAATAAATTAAGTACAACAGATTTAGTCAGCAAATGAAAGCAGTCTACATACAGGTATGCTCACCGACTAGAGGAAACCCTAGCTTTTTTGTTAGTCATATTAAAAATAGTATAATTCTACTCTCCTTACTTGTGAAGCATGAATTTCACCAGAAAAAATAAAAGAAAGCAAGTATTTGCTAAACATGTTCTTCTTTGTATGCATATATTATATGCACAACCTAGTCACATCAATGACTCGACAGACAAAAAGTGATTATAACGAGAAACCTGAATAATCAAGTAACACACAAATGGCGAATGTCACGTTACACCTTTTCTGAAAGATAAGTTCTATAAAAATCCAGTATATCCTCAATGTTGGTCCAATGCTGATAAACATCCCATGAAGCCGTAGTTAGTCAAATTACATACCTTTCCAGCGCCTGAGCAGTTTAAACACCTTTGAGTAGTGGGTGCATGTAATGGGCGATCAGAAGCATTGGATACTGAAATAGGTTCAATTTTCAAACATACACCACTTGCGGAACAACGGGCACAGGCCAAGTACCCTGTCCACAGAATCATATGAACATATGAACTCATAATCATATGGCAAATAGGTCTTTTAAGTGGGCAAGGAAAATGTCTGCATAAATCATTGCGACTACTTGACACATACCAATTCCATGGCAATACTTGCACCTTTTCTTCTCTTGTTGCTCAACATTGTTAGCTTCAAGTATCATCAAAGCTGAAATCACACCCACTGCCCCACCTGAAAAAGATGCCACGATAGGGTCGACCTGACTAAATTGAGAAGATAAACAAGTGTAATTAGGAAATAATGACATATTATGAAAAACAAAATAGAAGTAATCTAACAGAAGATATTGGGACAAAATTTGGAATATCCTAAGAAGGTCATGTTATTAAATTATTGTAATAAGAGGGACCAGAAAGTTTCAGCAAGTACCTTAATTGCATAGGCAAATGCATGCTGTGTATAAAATCTTCATATGAGGTGCCTCCTATGCCTAATTTCAACTCCAACTGCCATGTGAAACAGGTTACTAACTCGCGTTTAAATCGAAGAAATTATAATAAAATGAAATAAAAACAAATGTTTATAGTCTGCAGGAATCTCATTTATACACAATCATAAGTACTGCCATGTGCAGCAGCACTGCCACCAACCAATTAATTCATTGGCTGTATGCACCCAACGGGCAAGGCAGGGCTCCCATCACAAAACAAAAGTCCACCCTGAAAACTAAAACTTTTTTAGTCACTCAAACAATACCTTTGTTCATCTCAACAAGTCAACATTGTTACTTTCTATTTTTCCCGTCACTTACTTCGCAATATTACCTGTCTCAAGCTAAGAGCTATTCCAACTCTTATTTCCAATATTAATTTTATTGATCCTTGTGTTCCCACTCATTGATCTCAACATCTCTCAATAGTTGCATTATAACATGACTGCTGCTTTTTAATTGCTTGAACTCTCTTTCTTTCAATTTTTTTATTTGATAAGTAGAACTCTATGGAGGAAGTCCAATCTTAACATCATTGCTTTTCCCTTGAAATTAAAAGTGTCACTATTTCTTCACAAAGTCCAAATAAACTGACTAGGAAAAACATTAAGGACTCATTAGGCCGTGTATGGGACTAGATCAGAGCAGATCCAAGAACGGGATCCAAGAAAAAAACAATAAACTTCCTAGAATGAGGATACATTTTTTAGGTTAGAAAATTAACAGATACAGTACTTTCCCATATTGAAGGAACTTGACTCCCCTTTCTACCTTTATTTTCATATTCAGGGCTACTTTTCCAAATAAATCAGCTAAACAAACCCAAAACCTATAACTGTATATCCTACAGGACCCAGGCAAAAAGAACTTGCTATCCCTCTACTTCCCAAACCTCAGTCATGAAGCACAGACACTGCTATGGTAAAGGCATGCTGTGTTGGACACAGCATGTTACGGATGATCTTGAAAGCATGTTTGACACTTCTTAAAAGTGTCTTAATTAAAATTTTAAATTCCTAATATTGGATACTTTACGGCATATCGGCAACACTTCTTGAACCCTCCAACCACGATCTATGTGATGAACATCTTAATAATAACAAACAATGTTCCGTATTTTTTGGAATGCAACTCATGCACTCTAAATACATTTTGAAACATTTATAAGATGAAATATATTTCAATGTTCTACAATTGTTTTACATTCTTTAGATTGCAATTGTTCCGTGAATGATATCTCGATGTCCAAGTTATAAATATATGACCTTTAGTTTTAATTAGTATTGTGTTACCTGTTTTCATTACCTTTGAATAAACTATTTGAATATTTGACATAAAGTACATTTATAAAAATATAAATTTTCAACATGTTCCAAGTGTACCGTGTCCTACATTTAATACATTATATAGCCTCACAGCCATCTCAAGCTTTGTTTTGAAGCTATAAATGACTCTAAAACAAGAGACTGTATTGTAAAAAATACCATAATAAAGAATAAACCAGATGATGGTTATTGAATATAAAACTTGGCACTAGTCAATAAAACCATAAAGTGAGAATAGAAAAGGAAACTATCCCTTGTTGGCTTCATGAACTTACTATTGGTGCAAGAAGACCCCCAAAGACAATAATCCCAGATACGAAAAAAAAGCTTGTCAGGTATAGCTGCTTCAATGTCTTTGGTGTCTACTTCAAAAAAGAGATGCACAAGGTTAGCTCAAGAATCATCACTCAAATGCATAGATAAACCATACCAAACAATTACCACCCATGTTGGCATGCACAACAAAGCATCTAAAATCTTTTGCCTTTTCTATTCTTAGCCATATATATACCCCTATAGAGCCCATTACACACATCACTGATTCCACAAAGCATGCATGCTGTTAAGTTAGGCGTGTATGCCATCATTACAACTTCACTTTAGCAATGCCACGTGTGCTTTGTATAGTTGGTTGAATTTCATGTAGATTACAAAATTTATTTGAGAATCACCACATGAGGGAGAAATGGAATCGACGATGGGATTTCAGGCATCTCAGCTTCCTCTTCACCATTCTCATCAAGAACCTTTTTAGCACTCTTTATGCGTTGTTGTACACGTAATCTCCGAACCTAGAGAAAAAACAAGTAACAAATAACAAGTATTCAATCAAGCAAAATGTAAAATACAAAAGGTGATATTTCATATTTAACAGAAGAGAAATGATTTCATGGAATGAAAATCTGAGTCAATTTTACCTCTTCCATGAGGAGAAAAATCTTATTGCGCCTACTCCTTATATTGTCCTGGATTTCCAGCAGCTGCATCTGAACAAAATCCTGAACAGTCTCTGGTCCTTCTATAATGCAGAAGCTACTGTGAAAACAACGTAAAAATCTCTCTTCAACCTTTAATCTCTGTTACAATGATTCTTGTATTCTCAGGATAATTTATTAGTACAAACACGTAAACATATCAGGAAGATTACAACAATAAGGTTAGCCTTGTATACATAACCAACAAAATGTTATAGATCAATGTTTAAACCACTTCAATTGTTCTCAAACAAAAAGGGGTGGGTCCATGGCTGGAAAATATACATATGCAACTGATATAGCTCTTTCATTGAATCATTTATCTTGTATATGACTATACATAATGCGCACTCATAGTTTCTATATTGAATTAACTAGTATAAAGTCAAACAAACAAACCCAATTAATTTTTCCTCAATAATGCATAGATGACGCAGTTCTTTATGCCAATACAAACTCAGTTACATTACAGTTTTGTAAAAATATCATGATCATCAACCCCGACAATTATTAGCGATAACAACAACCAGTTTTTAACCATCAAAAGGCCCAATATAATTTAGTTTCCATCCAACCCAGAATTCATTCAATTTAGCAACTTAAACTTAAGAACCAAAAAATTCACCAAAAAAAAAAAACTCAATTACATCACAGTTCTCTAAAAATATCATGATCATCAACCCCAACAAATATTAACAACAACCAATTTTAACCATCAAAAGACCAAATATAATTTAATTTCCAACCAAACCCAGAATTCATTCAAATTACCAACTTAAACTTCAGAACCAAAAATTCACCCCAAAAAAAAAAAAAAAAAATCAGTTACATCACAGTTTTGTAGAAATATCATGATCATCCACCCCAACAATTATTAACAACAGCCAATTTTTAATCCAACCCAGAATTCATTCAAATTAGCAACTTAAACTTAAGACCCAAAAAAAAAACCCACAACCAATTTTCTCTCATTTACATAATTAATCTACAGATAAGTGAATAAAAAATTAAGAGGGTTTGAATCAGAGCATGAAACCTAGGGATGTTTTCGCCGGAAGGGACTGAATCAGAGGAGTCATTAGCAGAAGAACAGATGATAATTGGAGCTCGCAAAGCTTTTCTGAACAAGGAGAGGCGTTTGGGGCTTCCATGGGAAGATGTTCTGAGAAAAATCAGGGTTTTGGAGGAATCGAGCCTTGAATTGGAGATGGAAGGAAGAGGAGAGTAGAGAGAGAGAGAATTCATTGTCATCTCTATTCGGCTATTGCTCTGCTACTCATCCGAAATGTAGAGAGAGAAACATAGATGCATAATTGCATTCGGATAGAGAGATAGGGGTTTTGTTGTGGGATTTGGAACCAGTGAGTTTTAGGTACCGTAACGAGTGAGGGCACCTTTTGTGGAAGTAGTTTTTTGTTTGTTATGTTTGGAGCCAAAATCGAAAAATGGGTGAGAGCGTTAATTAGAGCTATTATTAATGATGTGACAGTGTGTTTTATCAGGAATGATTTGATATTTTGATTTTGATGTTATATTTTTTTTCTTTTTTTATTGAGTGTCATGTCATTAGTGATATTTTTAGAGTTTTGACCAAAATCTTAGGGACAATTTGGCTAGAAAGAAAGCGAGTTTTTTTTTTTTTTTTTTTTTTTTGACAAATATAATGTTAGTAATTAAATTATAATACAAGTCAATGCCCTCCCCATAACCAATTGGGTTACAGTCCAGATCGAAATAAAAATTAGTTTGGGAAGTGACTTTTTTAATGACTTTTTTTTATTAAAATATGAGATAAAAATATAGAAAGTATTTGAAAATGACTTTTTAATTTTTTTTTTACAGAAAAACATGTAAAAAGTAAAGAGAAAAAAATAATATTTGAGCTTTTTATATAGTTTTTGGATTTTTTTTTTGACTTTTTTGATGATTTTTTTAATTTTTTGGCTTAGATCTCACTTTCTCCAAACACAGCCTAAGGATAAAAGTGAAAATGAGATAAATAAAGTTTAAAGCAAAAATAAAGAAAGATTTATTTGTTTGCATGCATTTGATTAAACCATCTGCTCAAATTTTTTGGATACGTATTATTCTTTATTTAATTAATTCTAACTAGTGTTCAGAATCACTTGTTAGCAATGCTAAATATCCAATCTAATTGAACGATCACACATAGACTCGTAACTTAAAAAGAGATGAGAAATTATATTTTTTATTAAATAACACAAGTATATGAGTCATATATGCATTTGTAAATGTGAATCATATTACTTTATGTTTAAAAGTAACAAGACATAAGAAATGAGATTACGTGTAAAATTATTCTGAAACTAATTATACAACTATTAAAGCATTATTAATAGTGTGTCATGTTAATAACAACCTCAATAAAAGTAACACAAATATTAAAAGAAAGAGGATCTACTGCAATAATAATACTATGATAGGTAGGCATTACTTTGTATGACTTCCATTGGAACATCTCCACCAGTAATTGTCAAATGCGAATGCCAAAGTTATAATTTATCGTATTATAAAGTTAATAAATTAAATTTTAACAATGTTATCGTATTAGTGTAAATGTTATTTTTTGCAGAAGATGTCATATTTTGACATTAATAGCTGTTTTAGCTATTAATTGAGTTGTTCTTAGAGAGTTGGGCCTCAAAATTGAGGATCGTTGGATTAACCACCATTGGAATTTTGACTGCCTCTCCACCATCCTCCCCAATCTTATTAAATCCAAAATTGAGAGCACCACACTTAACTGGGATGCTCACACCGAAGACACTTTCACTTGGACATCCTCACATAATGGTATTTTCACCAATAAATCGGCTTACCTTCTTGCCCTCAAACCATCTTCTACCCCTCCTTTCCTTAGTTGGTCATGGATTTGGCGCACGCCCACCACCCCCTGGATTCAACACTTCCTTTGGCTTGCTTCACATGCCAAATTAGCCACCAAATCTTTCCTCCTCACTCGAAAGATTACTCAAGACAACCTTTATCCCCACTTCCAATCCCACCTTGAAACCATCACCCATGCTTTGCGTGACTATCCCTCTTCCTGGGCCCTATGGACCCTCCTAGGCATTCCCAAATCCCTCACCCCCTCCTTCTCTTCGGACACTCCCCACTGGCTCCACGTTAATTATGTATCAAACGTTCGCCATCAATCGTGTCTTTGGGTTGTCCTTTTCCCCCTCACCTGTTGGATCATCTGGAAACACTGCAACGCCTTCTGTTTTGAAACCAACCCATCTCCCCTTCCCAACCCTGCCGCCATCACTACTAATGCTGTTCATTGGCAATTCATCTCAAATTTTCCTTACCTCGCCCAAGACCAAGATTTTATCCTTTGTGAACTGGAAACCTCCCGACCATCCCTGATTCAAACTCAACATTGATGGAGCAGCTCACGGCAATCTCGGGGCTGCCTCAGCAGGAGGTATCATCAGAGATTCAAATGGTACTTGGATTAGTGGACTCAGCCGCAACATTGGATACACAACTAGTGTAGCAGCAGAATTGTGGGGACTTCGTTACGGGTTACAATTGGCAAGAGACCTTAACATGCCTAATATTGAAGTAGAGACAGATGCAACCACTGTGCAACATCTGTTGAACAATCGGCCTCCAATACATCATCCATTTAGTAATCTAATTTCTGATTGCAGGTGGCTCCTCGACCACGTACAGGACATTCATCGCATTTTCCGTGGAGCAAACACTTGTGCGGACCTGTTGGCCAAAGAATGACACAAGCTGACTGAAAGCCTTCATATTTATCCACTATGCGTAGTTTTATTACTGAACATGTTTGTATGGATGCCATGGGAACTTCTTATCCCAGATTTGTGCTTGACTTATCTTAGCTTTATAATATCCCTTTATTACCAAAAAAAAACAGTTAGTGATAAAATTTTATATTTTAATGCTCCAATGGAGCTGTTAAATAGGCTCCCAATAATGTTAAATTTCAAAAGACTCGCTAATTGGAGTGAATTATTTAAGAAGAAAAGAGAGAGATGTGACAAATACAAGAGAAGAAATATGACATTGTTAATTTAAATTAAAGTAAAATGGTACAATGTGTCATCGACAGCTAGTAAAAGTTTTGGATCTAAACATTTCCATGGTCCAATGATCCCATCCTAAAAGTTTAAATTAAAGTAAAATGGGACAATGGTCCTCTAATTTTAGGATCTAAACATTTCCATCAGAGCACTCATTCAATCATTAAATTAATAAACTTTTAACACAAAATTAGACTCCCCTTTGATCACTTTTTATCACAAAAGGTTTGATTGCTTCTCTTTCCCATATTTTCTCATCAACCAAACAGAATTCTAAAGCAAAATATAAACAACCACAACTAAAAACAACAAAAGCAACCAGATGGTAACCATAGGAGAAACACAGCTCCAAAATCCCCCATTCTCTTCCACAAATGGATCATCACCCCATTCCAAAACCTCTTTATCATACTTATTATTATTCCTCACACCACCCACCACCACACAATCTCTTCCTTCTTCGGCCAATCTAATATGTTCTAAAATATGAGGAAAAACCTTCAAATAAGCCTCTTCCCCAATCAACAAATCTGAATGCCCAAAGCCCTCCACCACCACCCTCTCATGCCTAAAACCAGGTTGGTGCAATTTCATGTACTTGTGAGCCAAAAAAGAAGTCTTGGGAGTCACAAGCAAAGTCCGCCCACCTGACACGTAAAGTGAGGAGATTGTCATTCTCTCGGGATGTGTGACGTATGAGTTTTCTCCGTTGGGGCCCACGATGAAGCCCACGTTGCAAATCCTTCTGAGGTGAGGGAATGCGGCCATGGGAAGCCGTGGGAGGGTGTGTTTTAATTGGTAGTGCATGGCAGGACTTATGTTGTCGTGCCAGAATGTGTTGCCAAAGATGCCTGAGAAGACTTCACATTCGTCACACGTGCATCGCTCGGAGCGGGGGATGAGACGGGCGATGAATTTGAGTAGGCGGTGCCGGGGAGTGGAGGATGGTGATTTGAAGAGAGGGAGGATCTTGTTCTTGCCTAGGATCATCATTGATATCTGCAATTTGATTGAAGTTTTAAAGTAAGGATATGTATAGGCTTGGAAAAAATATAGCATGATGTTTAGAGGTATGTAGATTTTAGGCCTGTCTTGATTATCCCATGACTAAAAAAATTTGTTTGGCAAATTGTTTGTAAGGAATTATTTTTGAAAATAACTTAATCTTTTGAAATACACCAAAAATTTATTTTTGAATTTAAAACCATAGTTGTTCTTGAATTTATTTAATTATTTTATGCTTGAAGAACAAAAAAAAAAAAAAGATAACAAATAGGTGTTCAAATTATATTCAACTGTTCACAATAATCTGATTTTGTGTTTGTATTAAAGGTGTTTTTGAATCTTGAATTTGAGTAAAAATTTATGGAGGAAAAATAAAAAGTTTCACATTTCCCTTCCATTTTCTTTTCCTTTTTTAAAATTCTTATCAAAATTTGAGATCTAAACATAGCTTAAACTGCAGATATCGGATTTGAAAACATTGAAAAGGATTCAAGAATTTGAAAATATATGCTTTCTTATGTTTGGGTATATGTTTGATCCAACTTACTCCAATTAAAAATTGATAACCTATAAACAATATATGAAAATACGCCTCCCCTAATTTCAAGATAATTAATTTTTAAAATTTATTTAAGTATATCATTTTTCTTTTCTAACTAATTTCCTTTACTTCTAATTACTTTTTACAGTGGATAAATTTCAGTCCCCAAATTTGTCAACTAGTCCATATTTTTGTGAGAATGCAGAGAGAGAAAGCTTACAGGGATGAGGGGAAGCCACATTTTGAAAGTGGCTAAAGGAGTGAGCTTGAAGAACATTGAAGAGTTGGTGCAAGTCAAAGAAGCTATTTGAGTTGCAGAGACATGGCCTCCCATAATAGCTATATGTATGGCTAACCCTCCAACACAGTGTGCAACCACATGTACCTTTGTCATTGGCCCATGCATACTATGGATTTTATTGATCACTGTAAAAATAATAATAATCAAAATCAAGAGTTAACTTGAAACAAAAGCATTTGATTTTTCTTTTTTATATATTGGTTAGTGTCATGTTTTATTGCATGGACCCTTCTAAAGTTACTATTTGTGTTGAAAAGTTGACACTTAGATCATGATATGAGATATATATATATATATATATATGTGTGTGTGTGTGTGTGTGAGAGAGAGATATGCCTAGTTATAAATGCATCTAACAAAAATGTATAAGCAGTCAAGTTTATTGGATTAAACACGTTTTTTACCGCTGCAACTTACGAATAGTCATGTATTGACTATAACAAATTAAGGTTTTAAAGACAAAAATTTAAAGACTAAAATATATTTGTTGTTAAAAGTGTCATTATTATATTTTTAGGACGAAATTGGACATTTAGTGACAAATTTCTCTCCTTTTAGGACCAAAATTTGTTTTAAAAAATAAACTTTTTTTGAACAAATTCTCGTCCCAAAAATGTGCATTTATTAGCAACATTTTCAAAATTTTGTTGCTAAAAAGTCTTCTTTTTCTTTTACTTTTCAAGACAAACTTTTAGTGACTATCTTTGCGACAAAAAGAATTGGTCTCCAAATATCTTTTGCAAAAAAAAAATTTTTACGGACAAAAAAATTTGATCCCTAAAACTTTTATTTGTTGTAGTGTTATACGAATTGGACACTTCGGTATATATCCGCCCCGGCACATGTTGCCAAGTTCACATGACATAGCATAGGTATCAAGAACTTCTAAGCTGAACTAAAATTTAAATATTAGTAATTTACCAGAAGGTATATCAAATTTGCCAATATCCTCAATGGTGAAGTTGTTGGAAGGATTCAGAGGGTGTAATCTTGGTTGAAGTGACCATGTTTCATGGCCTTCATCTAGTAGAGTTCTAACCAAATCATTTGGTTCTGTTGGTAGGCAATAACTCTCTGTGGAATGCCCATTAATTAGTAGTACTGGATTTAGTTTCTTTTCCCCTTGAGGCCTCCACGGACTCTGATTGCATTTCCATTGTCTGCAACTGATGATAAACCCATCCTCTGCACAATTTCCCAAGAAGCAAAAAATTACTTTGAAATTGATTTTTTTTGGGAAATTACAAGAGAGAGAGAGAGAGAGAGAGAGAGATATTATTATACTTTTAGGGCGAAATTGGGCATTTAGTAACAAATTTCTCTCCTTTTAGGACCAAAATTTGTTTTAAAAAATAAACTTTTTTTGAACAAATTCTTGTCCCAAAAATGTGCATTTATTAGCAACATTTTCAAAATTTTGTTGCTAAAAAGTCTTCTTTTTCTTTTACTTTTCAAGACAAACTTTTATGCTGTGTTTGGTTAGAGGATTTGAGGAGGGATTTGGAAAGGGAAATGGAAAAGGTAGGTGAAATGAGAATAAAATATGCCTAAATTTCACATAGTTTCACACACCTTTTCCCTTTTCCTTTCCAAATCCCTCTCCAAATCCTCCAACAAAACACAGCATTAGTGACTATCTTTGCGACAATAAGAATTGGTTTCCAAATATCTTTTGCAAAAAAAAATTTTTAGGGACAAAAAAATTTGATCTCTAAAACTTTTATTTGTTGTAGTGTTATACGAATTGGACACTTCGGTATATATCCGCCCCGGCACATGTTGCCAAGTTCACATGACATAGCATAGGTATCAAGAACTTCTAAGCTGAACTAAAATTTAAATATTAGTAATTTACCAGAAGGTATATCAAATTTGCCAATATCCTCAATGGTGAAGTTGTTGGAAGGATTCAGAGGGTGTAATCTTGGTTGAAGTGACCATGTTTCATGGCCTTCATCTAGTAGAGTTCTAACCAAATCATTTGGTTCTGTTGGTAGGCAATAACTCTCTGTGGAATGCCCATTAATTAGTAGTACTGGATTTAGTTTCTTTTCCCCTTGAGGCCTCCACGGACTCTGATTGCATTTCCATTGTCTGCAACTGATGATAAACCCATCCTCTGCACAATTTCCCAAGAAGCAAAAAATTACTTTGAAATTGATTTTTTTTGGGAAATTACAAGAGAGAGAGAGAGAGAGAGAGGGATTGGGGGAAATAGATGGAGAATAAAAAATGTGGAAGGTAGGGGCAATAATTGCAAATAGATGGAGAATAAAAAATAATTGAAGTAGGGGTTTAAAGAAATAAATTGCAAAAACATGGTTTCTTTTTTACTCTTTCGCCCCTCACCCTTTCTCTCTTCCCTCATTTCTTCTCTCTCCTCTCTCGTCTGCGGCCCCCTCCCTCACCCAACCTCGCAATCGCCAACTACTCCTCAACTATCTCCCAACCTTCTCCGGTCTGAGGGAAGGGCATTTTTGTCATTTCATATAGGTGGATTCAACCTCTTAGTATGGAGTTTCTATTTGCACATTATATTTTTTTTCTCAATTCACACCATTTTCTCCTTTTGAATATCAACTACCAAACAAAAACAAAAGTTAATTGTTCAAATATCAACTACCGAACTAGGATTTTGTTCAGTAACTGATATCTGATCTGAACCATGTTTTTGTAATTTTTTTCCCCCACCTCCCATTTTCCTGTAATTTCCCCTATCTTCTCCCCAAATGCTAGATTGTTTTGAGATTGAGCTGAACTAAGTACAAGTGAAGTTCTAAGCTTCCCAAGGAATTGGTTTTTATGCTTTGAAAATACCTGTTTTCACCTCATGCAGAGTACTGCTTGGATAAGGCCTTAGGTGGAGTTCTGGTGGGTTGAAGTCCTTGTGACACCCTCGCGGCACTTGTGAGAAGTAAGTTCTGAAGAGAGTCTGCAACACAAGGCACACAAACCTACCCCTCATGTTCCCTTCTAGGCTTATCAAGCTCTTGAGGAGCTCTATCATGGAAATACTCAGCTTCCCTTTTAATTTCAACATTTTTTCCTTTGAACCGTCCATAGAGACTCTATTGAGTGTCACATTCATTGTTGTTGTCTCCCTCCATGCATATAATGCATAGAGATAAGGATTCAATACCTTCTTCCCTTCAAGAACATATCTGCATCAAAACGAATTTCTGTTAGTTTTAGGAAACAATTCAACAAAAAAAGAGGAGAAAATTACACTTTATCCTTTCGAACTATCAATTTGTGTATATATGTTAAAGATCCGTTACAAAAATAAATGAAAAATTGGCTTGTGACTTAGCACATAACATCTCAAATATTATGGAATGCTTAAACTGGCCTACTCCTTTTTTTCCCCATTCCTTTGTCCTACCCACGACCGTAGCCATGACAGGCATGGTGTAGACAAACATGACTATTGATGTGGGTAGGAGAGAAGGAAAAAAAAAAAGAAGAAGAATAAGATCATTTTAAGCATTTCACAATATTTGAGATGTCATGTGTAAGTCACATATCAATTTTCCAGCAATTTATGTAATGGATTCTTAACGGAATATTCACATTGATTCAAATGAATAGTTCAAGGCAACAAAGTGTAGCATTTCTTAGTTGAGGGGATAACGTAATATGAAGTGATATCTTAAGCAGGTAAAGTGTAATTTGCTCCCAAAAACAAACAAACTGAAAAGTTAGGAACCTGTAAAAGTTCTCTTGAAATTTACCCAAAATACTGATTTGTGGTCCATATACTATTAATGTATAGTAGGATCCACACTTGGAATGAATCTCAACCACATAATAATTTCTTGGTATTTTTCTAGGTAAATTTTCTGGTCCCTAATAGAAAAAATAAAATAAAATAAAATAAAAACAGAAAGAAGATAAATTAATGACCTGGAACCAGAAGAGGCTGCAAGGAGGAGTCGATAATGCATACACTGTGTGTATGGAGTTCTGTTGTCCAATTGACACAAATCAACTTCCCCATCTATGACATGTAACTTATCCATCTCCAATGCCTTAAATTCAACATATCCACCAACTTTACCCCTTAATAGCTGATGAGAAACTCCCAAAATTGTACTATTTCTATGCATTTCCTTCTCATCAGTATTACAATTCATCTTCAATTTCAGATAAGCTTCACATGGCATACCTCCCACATACCCTCTCATAGTTTCTCTAAACACAACCATCGATTCCGGGCTTCTTCCAAACTTCATGCTAGTGATTGAACCGAGCTTCGGATAAGAAACTGTATTTTGTTTTCTTTTGTTCTTGAGGACATCCTCCACAAGGTGCCTGCTTACGTGCTCAGCTAAGGCAGCTATGGTTAGACATGGATTTACGCCAACTGAGCAAGGTATTAACGAGGCGTCACAAACGTATAGGCCTTGGTACACTGAGGTTTGAGACTTTTTGTCAAATACTTGACCATTGGGGTTACAAACCCCGTGTGAAGAGTCTGATGATGCATTGCAACCCCCTAGAAGATGAACTGATGTGCTCCTAAACCTTGACATGAACAAAATTCCCCCTAATTTTTTAGTAAGCTTTTGGAAGGCCTCAACCTTTCGTGGAAGTATAGGATCGTGAGGTGGACTAAAACATATTTTGTTTGTGTTCTTTTCAAATGTTATTTTTCCATCACTCTCATCGTATCCCATTGCATTGAGAATCATTGCTTTGCTGTCTTGGAGTCCTAACATGTGCTTTAGCTTGTCTATGACACCATGTAAGAACCACGAGCCACGTGGCCATCCGTAAGTTGTAATTCCTTTAAATAGCAAGTAAGGATACGCGGTTGGGAGTATTGCACTCTGCCATATTAGAAAAAGTTTAAGTGCTCGGAAAATTTTTAATGTGAAAAAAAAATAAAAAATGGATTGGTTATATGAATATGAAATTCGACCTGAATTGTGAATCCCAGTGAGGAAGTGTATGACGAAGAAATGGATGGTCCCGGCCTTTCTTGGAAGGGTATTTTTGAGAAACTATTTTTGTCTATGCCATAAGCACTCAAAGGTGCAGGGCTTCCTGCAAGATAAGCAACAGTGTTTCCATTGCAGCTAAAACCCAATCCAAGTCTTTCTGAGAGTTTCAATCCTCTCAATTGGGACTCGAATAGTATATCAGCTGTACCAAACACTCCAGCTGCAGAATGAGTTAATTTAAGAAATTGATTAATATTTGTACAACCCAAATTGAACTGATGTTTGACTCTTTTTGTAAATTATATATTACCTGAGAGGATAACAAAATCGGATGTTAAATAGTCGATCTCATTGAAAAAGACAAGCCACTGCCGCCTTCTTTCTCTTCTTGTTCTTTGTTCTTTTTCAAAAATGTTATTTGGGTTTTCTACCACATACTGAACTTGACATTCGGTTTTGATAGTACACCCGGCCTGTATCACACAATTTGATTTAAGAGAGAAAAGATTAGCTTGAACATTCAACAACAGATGATTCCATTCATAATTGATGCTAACCATCTTTTTTCTTTCTTTTTTTTAATACTCTTCACCTTTATTTATTTATCATGACAAATGACTATTAATCATGTGAGTTAGTTTTAAAATTCCAATTTTTCTGAGTTATTCCTTTAAAAAAAATATGGCTTTTGGCTACAATTTCAATTCTAGCTCAATTCCAGCTAACAGTTTTATACTAATTAAGTGATATGTAAATCTCAATGAGCGATCAATTTCTGTGAGTATGTCCTAACCTATGAAGTACGAACACCTGTCTTGAGGTTGCATATTGGTGTCCAACCCAAGCATGCTGGAAGAAGTGTCACCCTTTTTTTCTTTCAATCGAACACCCTGGGGACAAGTGATTTCCCGTTGTTTTTCACTATGTAAATAATCCAAGGTTGATAAATATAAAAATTACATGTTTTGCATGTGCCCTCACATGCATTCTTTGGAAAAATTGCATTTTCATTTATCTAGTTGTCACTTGTCCGTGTCTGTGCTTCTTAGGTCTTGTCACACCGAATCATTCAGACTTGCAAGCTCAAACATTGTAAGGAAAAATGACAATAACCTGGACTGCAGAAACCAAATAGGTCTTGTCTGTCGAGTTCTTGGCATTGTAGGGACATCCAGCAAGACAATTTCCACAAGCTAAGCAAGTACCCATTTCTTGCGACTTCATTGTATTTGATGCTTGTTCTTCTATCTCAAAATTGACACCGAGCTTCAATGGACCTCGACTAGTTTCTTCAAACTCTTCTCCAGCTACTTCTTCCATGATTTTCGTGTTGGCAAATTTCACAGGAACACTTTGTATTCTCAGCATGGATGAAGCAGAAGCTTGGCAGGCCTCCCAATCTCTTTCCCATTCTTTTGGCCATTTGGGATTTCGCCTTGCGCGAATTGGAGTTGGCAGCATAACCCCTGCATTCATTAGTGATCCGCCTCCAAGCCCACAGGCCATTGCTGCTAGAGAATCATCTTGTTCGTATAACTATTATTTGATCAAACAAATCTATGTTAGCATAGAATTTTTGCATATTTGAAAAACATAAAAGCTCAAGTCAAGTTATCAATATGGTATAGCTAACCTATTTATCTACAAAAATTACATCTTTGCCTCTGCAGACTCTTCTTTAGCAGGAATCTCGTGCTCTATGTCGCACTTATTAGTCTCGAACAGCTGAATTTGACAATAATTTATACATCCTTTTGACAATTTGACAATTATTTACACTTCTTAGTCTACAAAATATAAACATGCTTAATGTTTTTCTGTAAATTAAAAACAGTAATTCATTTTTATAACCAATGCGAAGTTTTGTTCTTAATGCTGGCCCCATTACTTGTTGACTCTATTTTTTCTTTGAATGATTCTAGAACGATGAATTACTGAGGGAGCGATTTTTCCAAAACAATCACAGGAAATCTTTTGTTAACACGGATTCTTATTTTTCAATGATATTCCTCAATCAAGAAATTGAAGAGGGACTAATGACCTGAAACAAAGCATCCTTTGGGCCAAAGCTGATCCCCAAGTTCCTGTTTTCAATCCTGGCAGCTGACATGATCTTGAAACTATCAGTCGGAAAGTCCTGAGCTTCCCATCTCCGGCCTTTCTCAATCAAACACACTTTTATCCCGGCCATTGACATCCGACAAGCAGCAACAGAACCACCATATCCAGATCCCACCACAATAGCATCATAACCATCTACATCCCCATCACCATCACCATACTCTACTTTCTCCATTTCCTTTGAAAAAAAAAAAAAAATCCCAAATCAAATTAAATCTTTTCCAAAGTTTTTGGTGATGACAGAGTGAAGAGAGTGAAGGAATTTGAGTTTCAGATTCATTCATATAAAAATACTTTTAGTACTGCATATGGATGTTACTAGATACACCATTTTGTAATGTTGTGATTTGTTGGTGACAATGGCTGTGGAAAAACAGCTGTGGTTTTCATTGGTTTTTGGGTGAATAAGTGGTTTTCATTGTTGTCAACGAAGAAAACTGAAGCGTTGGCCATAGAACAGAATCTAACGAAATTTACCTAGTTTTATGCTCCTTAGAGTTCATAAACAATCTGACGATCTGCCCATAAACTCTTGTCCATTATTAAACAGAGAAGCATTATAAAATAGTGAAGTCTCAAAAAAACCAAAATGTTTTGTTTTCATAATTCTTGTCTAGTGTGTAAGAAAGCACCTATATAACATTATAGTCTAATGCTTCCTAACGTTATGTTTTACCAATGGCATGATCTACACTACATTTTCTTCGGCAGAGAATCTTTTTTATTTTTTTTTAATAACAGGAATTTGATATTTATGTAGAAATATTCTTGTCCAATATGTTTTGAGGACACAGCCAGGAATCCTGTGTCCTCCTTCCTTAATGTGCAGATCCAACTATGACGAACATAGGAATCTTGGGGTATGATCGTATGGCAAGGAGGCATTAGTGACAAGGAATGGGAATTTTGGAGACAGATGATCCCGTTCAAAGCTACTCCCTATTGTAACTAACAAAAATATATTTAGAAACAAAAATTACATGTCACAAAGTATAAGGCCATTTTTCTATGAACTACTCCAACGCTACTCTCTAGGCTAACTCTTCATCCAAACCAACTTAACATTCATGTTTTTTTTTTATGGCACGCAAGGCATAGATGAAAAAAAAATAACATGTCATTTACAAAGCCTGTCAGAGTTAAAAAAAAAATGAAGAGAACAAACTTCATTTAGAGAGTACATTGGAGTTGCTCTTAGTATGCAAGAAAAGACCAACGGGTGGCCTAGTGAATATGGTGCTTTCTTACCAGATGTGATGTTTCGGTTCGAGTCTTATTTGCTACAAATGTTGCTTCCGCTTCCATTATTCCCCTCCTACCAATTTTCCCCAAAAAAATACAAAGTATGCAAGAGAGCAATTATAGCATACGAATCTATAGAATACATGTGTCCAATCACACATTATGCCTTTTAACCACATGAAGATGATCCAAAGATACATTCTTATCCAAGATGTTCAGATGCACATCACATTTAGGTAAAACCAAAGGACAACTAGTAGATTCTGTATTTGAAAGGACAACTAGTATATACTAGTCTATGTTAAAATATATGGGTAATATGGAAATGATGCTTTATATTGAAATGATGCTTTTATCACAAGGATATAATCTATAGAAACAAAATGAACCCTATGGAAATCATACAACCATCCAAATATGTTGTCTGTCTGTATGCAAAAATAATTTAGTACATTGGACGGCACTTGGTCCTCTTTGCTCAAAGTTAAATTTTTTTTGGAGTTTAGGTACAATGATCACAAGGACATTCAAAGTACATATATTCAGTGTGTTTGGTTTTAATTTTCTGAAAATTGAATTTTTTTTTTTTTTACTGAATATTTTTTAAATTTTAAGCAATTTTTTTAGATGTACCAGTAAAATGTATCTAAATAGTAAAATATTTGTGAAAAAATATTTTAAAAAATTAATAAATATACAAAAATATGAAAAATGTATTGAATTTTTTTTTTCTTTTTTTTTGGTATCTAGTGAATTTTTTAAAGATTTTTTCCACAAATATTATACTTTTTAAGTGTATTTATGTTAGGTGTGCCTGATTTTTTTTTTTTAAAATACGAAAAAATAAAAAAGTAAAATTTTCTGAAACCAAAACCAAGCAAGTTGATTATTATTACAACTCAAAGGAAGAACTTGTTCAAACTCTACCTATTTCAGCCGACTTTCAAGGGCCTGAGATGCCAAAAAAAAAAATCAACTGGGATCATTTTGTTCTTAAAAACAAAAACAAAAAAACTTGTGTTTTATTTGGCTTAACATGGTCACGTGGTCACTGAATAACTTCTCATGTAGAAGGCTTCTCATTAGGGATGTACAAATATCGGATTGGACTAGTTTCTCATTGGATTTGTTATGTACGTGTGCTATATGTCGATGGGTTTTTGGTAAGTAGTGGAATGTTCATTTCAATATAATTTTCATAATATATATAAATTACCTCATACTAATTGATAAAAAAATAAATTATTTATTAAAAATAATTTATGAACAAATCCAGATTAGGAGCTCCACAATTCGTAATAACACACTCGAGTGGCAAACCACCACCCATTCTCCAGCAAAGCCCTAGTAAGGTAATAGCTGCCGGGATGGATAAAGGAAGGAAAGAAAATTTAAGAGCAACCTCAATGGTGATTGCCACTTTAACATCCCACAGTACCACATTTTTGTTTGGTAAGTGATGATACCAGAATGTCATAATTTGACAATTCTATAGTCATTTGTAGACCTCATCATAAGAGAGAGAGCGAGTTAGCTCTTGTTAAATTTAATACAACATTTAGCATTATCGGGTCATTTGAGAGAAAATTTTCAGACCATACCTGTATGAGAGGGTTCAAGAATATTGTAGGAGAATTTGAAGATTTTCGATGATCTTTGAAGGAAACTTGAATTTTCTAGAAATAATGAGAGGCTTAGCAGTCACAATTAGGCACACAATAGCAAAGAAATGATGGAGATAAGAGATTGGATGAAGAAGAAGGCAAAGTAATTAGAGAGAGAATAATAGCAAGGCTCTCCTATGGATCTCCCATTTTCACTCTACCTTGCATCCCATGGATCTTTCATTTTCACTCTCAAGGTAGATAATAGAGAAGGGAAATTAGTTCTTTCCCAAGAGTTGTCTCTCCAAAATTCATCCCTTGTAAAATTATGAGTGGATGCTATTTATAGACACTTCATGATGTAGGATGGAGCCCATGTACAAGGCACATGAGAAATTTTCCCTCTAACTACCTTGTCCGAAGAGGTGAGCTCTCCAAGGTGAGGAAAATCCCGAAGAGGAAATCAACCTCTCGGCGAACACTTCTTCTTAGCCACACCTAACCAACGATCTCCAATCATCCCAAAGGATCAGGGGTAGTCCCAGAGGACGCCTTGTCGCAAATATTATCGAGTCTCAGGGATCCCTTAGATCGTACCACCTCACCCAGGTAAAAGCTAGTTTAACCGAGCAATGAATTTATCTCCACTCACCGTCCTTAGGATCAGATCTTTTGTTCAAACTCCATCACAACCATGATTCTGGTGCATAGATTCCGAAAAGCTCCGAACACGCAAGTGTTCTAGGACTCATTAACAAAGCGACTTCTAGATTGCATTCGAATCCGTTCGAAGCCAAGCGCCTCGAATCTCTAGGTTCGTAGATCCGAACCTTTTTGAGTCCGAGCTCAAATAGGTTTCCAGATTCGTGGTTCTGAATCTTTTCAGGACTAAGCCAATATCTCAGAGAATGAATCTCCTTCAAGGGTTTCATCTCTTTTGAAAACAATCGTTAACCTCCTCAAGCGCCCATATGATTTGTGCCTCCTCGGATGGACTTGTTGAACTCTCTTTAGAGATATCTACTTGATGAGTCTTTCTTTGCCCAATTTGTTAGCTTTCTTATAGACCCGTTCAATAGAATTCCCTTAGGCCCATTTGGTAATAATTTCTCCAAGCTCACCAATTTTCGGACTTTTCGATTAGGTTTCGATTGGCCCAATTAATTTAGTGGCTCATGTTAACCCTCTACCAAATTTTGGCAATGGCAGCTCAAATGGCAGCCTGTTGGAATTGCTAATAACATTTTAAGCCATGCTTCCTCTCTCATATAGCAAGTGCCATCACATGATAAACAATAAAAGACCAAGATCAAAACAGATAAATGGATTAAGAAATAATTTCAAGGGCCATTCAGAGACAAGAAGAGTTCTATAATAGCTAATTTTTAACATCTCACTCCAGCACTACTCTCAAGGAGGAAAATAAAAATTAAAGAAAGAAAAGAAAACCATCTATGTGAAATGGATTTCAATTCCAAGATACAGAAATTTTGCTATGTGAAGAGTGTCTCATAAGATTTAGAACTCAGTTTTTACTTTGCTGTGGTTTGTACAAGTGACGGAAAAGAAAAATTACCACACTTTCATATAGCACTTCCTAAAGTAAAGATCTCTCCAGAAAGCAAAAGCTGCCCTTGTCATTCCTGAGAACAACCCAAGTGGAAACGTTTTCGATCTGTTTCTGGGTTTTTGTGTTAAGCAGAAGAGCAAGCTTCAAGTTTGGGAAGGAGACTTCGCCAAGCATCAGCTATACCGCGCGCCAGGCGTGCCTGTCCCTTTGCAAATTCATGAAAAGCAATCCCCAAATCCAATGTTTTCTGTTCTTGGAAGCGCACGATCTCCTCATTCATCAACCGCACAATAGTCTCGAATCTTCTAGTTGCTTCCTCACTATCTGCCTTCAGCTGCATCACAAAACCAATAATAATATTAGCCAAACAAAGAAGATTCTGGAGGTAATACACTTCTATAGGATGTCAATATAAACTAACCACTTCATATTCACGCTCAGCTTCTGCCAATTTTTCTGATCGTGTTAGCCTGAATTTGTTTCTGCAAACAAATATAATAAATAAATTACTGACCTCAAAGTAGAAACCTCAAATATCTTTAGGCACATTAACTACTGAAAACTGGGAAAATTGAGTTCAATTGACAGTTTTATAACCAATTGGTCGATGAATTTGAAGGGTCATTCATTTTCAAAGCATAATCTGAGAAAACCCTACACATTTGGCTATCAGTCTGAGAAAGATTGCAAATTATCATAACTTGGGACGTTACCAATACAGGATTACCATTCAAGAAGGCTTTACTAAATAAAGCAACTTTTACACATTGGCAAATCAATGTCATATGCAAAGGGTCCCTCTACTAGTAAATACAATGAAGTGAAGAGAGCAAATAAGTTGATGAGAACCATACAGATCTATTTCCTTCAGCTTGATGGTTTCAGTCAGTTCACACTGCTGCCTGAAAGCATTGGCTCTCTCTGCTATCGTGGCCTGTTTCAAAAGGCAAAAGCGATACACAAAAGATGGTTGAAGGTTAAAACAGGAGATTCGCCAAACGATCCAAAATCATTATCGGGTGTTCCCTTTGTGGTATTTAAAGTAGCCGTCAATCTTCCAGGTCAACGAGACAAGGAAAGAAATGATGGACAACGATAGGGCTTTGGATATTGGTGAGCCAACAAAACTAACCTTGATAGATTGCACAGCACGAACATAATCTTTCAAGGGCTCTTCAAAATTCATTAAGAGGTGGTGAGCCTGAATGATACAGCAAGGGCAGTTATATCATCGCAAAGAACTATTCGATGTTAAAGAAGTCAACTAACTATTTAATGTCAAGGGCTGATCCATTGATGAGGCTTACCTCCTTCTGCAGCTTAATTGACAAAATCTCTGATTTTGCCCCAAGCTCAGAGAATACCTTTCCAAGAGCATCTCCTTCACAAGTGCCAAGAAGTTTGACTGCCTTCCCAAAATCTGACAGGGATTGCCCCAATTCTGTGGAAACACAGTAAAAAATTATGAATGAATTTTATTTGATTTTATTCAAATATTAGAACAAACAAAGAAGAAAACGGAATAAATGAAGACAATCCACAAAATATGATTTAAAGTAAGTTTGAAATACTGGCACACCACAAAACCAAAAAAAATAAAGTCCTTAAATACCTCTGTGTCTCTTTACTAGGCGATATGCATGCTTCTGAGCTTCAGCTAAGTGATCTTCAAGCTCAAAGATATAATGTTTCAGTTTCTCATATTCAGGATTCGATTCTTCAACTGGTTTTTCCTTTCCAAGTACAACATCACTTACTTTAGATTGTACATCCTGTCAAAAATCATAGAGAAGTCATATGGCAGATCATTCATCTTTTCAAATGGACATTGGACATCATTCCATTTCAGTGCCCCTTGCAATCCCAATTGGGAGCCAATGCAGTCACTTCACAGAGAAAAGATGACTGACTCAGATAACTGATGAGCTCTCTAATAGCAGAATTGTGCCCTTCGATTTATAAGATTGGTGCAAGGACTGGGGGACACTTTTTTAAAGTGAACAAAATTCTTAATCAGTTCAATTTGACATATTAATAATAGGACTCTTGAACTATTGAGTGAGAAAGGTAATTTCAAGATCCACAGCATAGTTAGACTCTTCATCCCATGTACTATATCGCTATTCCACATATCACTGCTCATTATCATGTACATAGCATATCAAATACATAACTAAGCATCTTCTGGGGGAAATTAAAAAACATCATGACCACTAACAGAGTTGGTCTGTTTATGGAAACCTTATTGATTGCAGGTTCATCTCTTCCCAGTCCCAACAAATTGTACAGCAGGGAAGAAAGTGAATGTCCAAAATTCTCCAATGTTTTGTGAAATCATTTTAACATTAGATTATGGAATATTATTATTGGCCCACTAATCATTCGAACATTAGATCATCGAATAGTAGTTATTCACACACTCTATCATCATTCAATAACAAGGATGTGTTTACTTTTTAACCTCAAGTTACCTTGAAGATTTGCATCAAATCAGCTGGCTTCTTCTTAAAAATACCAGTCTCTTGAGATCTGGCCCTTTCCATTGTCTGCAAAATAAGGCAAGAAAATGACATCAGATTGATGACAGTGACTCAGAGAGAGAGAGAGAGAGAGTTTAAAATAGATTGTGAAGGCTACATTCCACCATCCATATACATGTTATGATGTTAGGCATCTGAAATTACAACAAAGACTTCCAAAAGGTATCTAAACATTTTAAGTAGTACCATATTCGTGTCCTTGAGGATCAGTTACTTTACTAGAATTTCATTGCCTGACAATGTTAAGGAATCAGTTACTAGAATTTCATTGCCTGACAATGTTAAAGGAATCAGCAGCAACAATTGCTTCACACCCAATAAGTTGCAGATATAATAAATTTGTAACCCTAAAATTTTCCTTAAGGTGAATCTTATGTAGAAATGCAACAAAGCACCACCTCAATTAAGTTCTATGAGTCCAGTGTGTGCATTCAAATAATGAGAAGGTGACAGACAATGATAACTTTAAAAAACGTAATTATATCTCTGTAGATATTCTAAAGCAAGGCGTTATTTTCCTTATCAAACTCCACCAAAAATACCATAGTGAAATGTATAACAGCCACCAACTCAGCTTGAAGGCCCTCAACACAGTTATGGTCCTTGCTCAGATTTTCTTAAATGTTGTCCTACCTGGCACTTATACCTGCCTGACTCTCTGTGAATATAATGAACTTTTTCTTATAAACGCACTCCTTAAATCTGCCTTGAATTAGTAAATGCTAGGCAGTCTATGGAGATTTTTGTGCAGGACTCTCTTTGAAGATTTGACATACAAATGCATTAGTTTTTTTCCATCTTTTATAAAATTTTGGAGCGTCTGATGGGTACATGCATGCTTCTATGAACCTGAGGGAACATATTTTTATCAAGATTTACATACCAAACCTTGTACACCTTTTCTTTTTGATAAGGTAACGAGACTTGAACTTGAGGCCTCGTTTGGCAAGAGCAATGCGACCTAAGCCACTGGGGTGTCCCCTAGGGGTCATACTCTTATCCTACACTTCCTAGCTAAGAAGCACAGACACGGATACAGATACAGACACGGACACGGATGTGGACACGGGACACGACGATTTCAAAAAAAGATGGGAAATTCTAACAAATTAGTAAATGCTAGGCAGTCTATGGAGATTTTTGTGCAGGACTCTCTTTGAAGATTTGACATACAAATGCATTAGTTTTTTTTCCATCTTTTATAAAATTTTGGAGCGTCTGATGGGTACATGCATGCTTCTATGAACCTGAGGGAACATATTTTTATCAAGATTTACATACCAAACCTTGTACACCTTTTCTTTTTGATAAGGTAACGAGACTTGAACTTGATGAGTCTCTTTATTGGGGCAATGCGACCTAAGCCACTGGGGTGTCCCCTAGGGGTCATACTCTTATCCTACACTTCCTAGCTAAGAAGCACAGACACGGATACAGATACAGACACGGACACGGATGTGGACACGGGACACGACGATTTCAAAAAAATGGAGACACGAACATAGTGGGGACACGGCAATAAAATAAGTTTCTATATGTTTTTATTTGCTATCTAGATTAATATTACATCCACAAACAATCAATATTAACAAAAGCTAATTGTAATTCTATTTTTTTTATTTAAAAAAAAAAAACTTTTAAATTAACACTTACAGGTTATATTTTTTTTTTTTATGAATGATCTATTAAGTATTTAAATCTAAGAAAAAAATAATAAACATTTAACATTCATCAAAAGCACTAAATAAAATGAAGGAAAAGACAACTTCACATGTCCCTAGTGTGTCCCCGGTGTGTCCCTTGAAAATAAATTAATTAAATAAGTGGACACTCCATGTGGTGTGTCCCATACGTGTCTCCGAAGTGTCTGCGTGTCCCCGAAATGTCCGTGTGTCCGACACAGATACGGCACTTGTTTTGAAGTATCGGTGCTTCATAGCTTCCTAGAGTAAATATTTTCCTTTTGAATATAAATGGGCATGTGTAAAGGCACAAAAACTACAAACACATTTTGGACATGCAATATTTGCAAAACCTTATTAAAAAAAAAGCACAGGACAATTTAGTATTTAAAAATAATTTCCAAGAATAATTAGAATAGTACATGGAACTATGTCTTCGTCATTAAGCCGTCTAAATTAGATATTTAACCTGCTCATCTGCCTGCAAAAATGTTCTCAGATCCTCACTTTGCTGAAGTTCATGATGTGAAGCTATCCGGTTAACAAAAACATCCAATGCTTGACGCCGCATCTCAATAAATTCAGCACTGAATCTAAACTTCTCTGCATAATAAAGACTGAAGTTAGTCCAAATATGATTTTGAAATTCTTTAGACCAAATCTTTGCGCAACTTTGTTCGATATTAATCACCTATGTTATGCTTAGGCATGAACCCAGAAATAGGCTACATCATTACGAACAACTGCGTTATCAAGATAATTAACTGCAGCACGAATGTAAATATTTGCTAACAACACATTTGGACATCCAATAGTAGTGAATGTCTCCATGCAATATTCATAGGATAAGAAGCCATCTACAAAGAAGATCAAATCCATGAGTCCTAGGAGTGCATCGATATCAAGCACTAACTCTTGGACTACAAAAAGTACAGCTCGATGCTTGTGTTTCCTCCAAGTGAAAGTAACAAGTCATGATAAAGATATTATTAATGGAAGAATAATGCTCTTGAGAGATAGTTGCGCAAACTACTGCTGAATTGATGCATTTAAAGAACAAATCCATTGCGAAACTAGCACAGATCAATAAATCTAATTTCCTAACTTCTAACATATGTGGAATTGCATGGTTGCTTCTTGTCCTTTCTGAGCTTCCACCCACCCACACCATCATATCCTTCTGTAGAAAGCCAAACTCACGTATACTAAACGAGAAAGTTCCGACATCTGTTCATGCAGAATAAAAACCAGTGACTACACAGTAAGAACACCGAGATATGGAACAGAAAGGCTTTTGGGAAGAGATTTGATGTTGGGCCAAAAAAGGATAATTTCAGGCCTGGTGAGTTTTATATGTCTGGTGGGGCTGGTCAAGGCCATTGACCCAATTGAAACATTTGGATTTGCAATGACAAAGACTAATACCATTTGTTTCAGACCAACTTGGAGGCCCATTATTCAGAGAGTTGATCGCAAGTCATTAGTTTGATTTTGGGCCTTATTTGGCCCATCAATCGGGAAAATCCAAGTCTGTGGAATCTTTTGGCCCAGTTGTGCACATGGATCCAGACCAGAGAATGCCCAACTACATTTGGCCTCTTATGAGCCTTTAAATGGGCATTGCGATCAGTCCCTTTTCGTCTGATTTTTCAACACCAGAAATTCCCCATTTTCTTATTCTCTTCTTGTGTGCATGCGTGTGTTCTTTTCTTTTTCATTTTCTTGTGCTTTAGTACTTGGATGGTGCACCCTTGGCACCTTTTAATTTAAATCTTAATTACTTATCAAAAAACAAAAGGCACTTACTACTTAATTCCAAATTTCCAATAAAAACCCATATAAAGTCTCAAATCACCACTTTAACACGGTTTTTGATGTGATGAAAATGACAAAAAAAGCCATTCAAAAAATTATAATGTGAAAATATATGGGTCAAAATGTGTATTAATAAGTTTTAAAGGATTTTCCAGTGAGTGCAAAATATTCATGGCTTCAATAACTGATTCTCATTATACCGTGACTGATTCCCAATGACATTCCAATCATGATCAAGATGATTACAATAGCAAATATCATGACTTCAAACCATGTGTCAATCCCAAAAGAGTAACAATCAGAATAATTATATTGTCATAGAAATATAAATATGTCTTCTAGGAACGAAATAAACTTTAAAAATTAAGAACAGGCTTGTTACCTACAGTGCTCTTCTCTGGAAGAGGAGGAATGAAAATACCCTTGTACTTTTCAAAGAGTCGATCACGTAGCCATTCAAAGTCACTGTAACGTCGAATAACAATCTTCTCTGACCCTTGGTATTCAGGTAAATTTGTCTACCAAAACAAGTTCAATAAGCATTTGAGTATAAATAACATAGGTAATTCAAATTGAATCATCATTTTTTAAGTTTATTAAATAAATCATAACTTAAAAGTGATCCCCCAATAAATAAAGAATTGATAATACATTTAACATATAACACATGTATGATTAAATATTTCATTACAGACAAACTAATTACTTGATTGAGTGTTAGTAAGCAAAGTTTTCAAATGCTTTACTTAGCCTAGCCTCGCCTCGCCTCAAGGCTAAGGTAAAACGCATCAAGGCTTTAATTTATAGGCTATACTCTCTAAAGGCTTGTGTATCACAATCTGAGGTATGCGCCTCAGTATGCGGCTTGTATGCCTTTGGTGCACAAGCCCATGACGAGTACACATATGAAGAGGTTGCCTTAGACTACTATTAAACTTAGTCTAGTAGATAGTTTAAACATCTAAAAGCCAAAAATAAAAAAGAATCCCTTTTGTGACTATATTTTATTAAAAAAATTATGTAAATGAAAATGAACAAAAAATATAAAGTTATTGCTCAAGTGAGAAGCTCAATCACTAAAGTTCATAATGTCAATTTCACTTTTAATGGAGGCAAGCTTCATTCTCTGCAGTGAAATGTTTGATGTCTTAACGAGAAAAGTATTTATACATTTATATTTATTTTTTCACTATTTAAAAATATTTAATTTATTTACTAAATTTTAAAATTCGAAATGCTTACGCATCAACGCCTTGAGGCTTATGCCTCGCCTCATGAGGGGTAACACGCCTCGAGTTATGCATTCACCTTTAAAAATTGTTAGTAAGGCATACTGTATTCTAAGAGCAGTATGATAATCATACAAAATATCTCTAGCAAAAGATGCCATCTATTGTATGGCCAAGAAGATCCCAAACCAACCTAAATTCAAACTTTATGCAGTCAGAGACCAATCATAGGACTCGAGTTGAGCTTCCATCATATCATACAAAAGAAATTTATTGCATGGCCTTCTATTTTTCTCCTAACCATTACTTCCTTTTAAAAGGTAAAATCCACTATTTTCTTTAAGTTTCAGGAAACAAATACATAAATGAGCATAATTCATCTCCAAAACAGGGTTCAATGAACAGCAACAACATAGTTTTCACATTTATATTTGATGTAGGCCGAAAGGTACCACATTGAGGCCACTTAAGTTACATTTTTAGTCTTTTAATTTTATTTATTTGGTGGAGATGATATGTTTCGTGCACTTGTACAGATTTGGCAGGAAATATGAAAATTCAATAAAAAAGGGTGCGAAAGCAGATTCTCCGAGCGAGAAGTGAAGAATCCGAGCCAGCCAGACCACCACATGTGCGGCCCACATGGGCGCTCGAGCCGCCCACCTAGGGACGCGTGCACGAAAATTTTGATCTGTTTTGCTCCGAATAAAAGACAGAAAATTAGCCAAACCGAGGGTTCAAAAATTTAATTCAAAATAGAGGGAGGCTAGGGTTCCAAAGAGAGGATATTCCACCAAAGCTTGAAGGACACTTCCATGGGAGTTTCTTCCTCATCTTCTTCCTCTTTCCACTCCTCTATGAGTGGCTAGTCGTCTTTTCTAGGGTTTTGATGAAATCCTAGACATGTAATGGAATTTTTCATGAGCTTTAATTGTAAATTGGTTTGAATGAATGTATGGATGATTTAGAAATTTTTAATAATTATTTCGTTCATCTCTTCAAGTATTTTACTCTCTGTGATTGTTTAATACTTTCCATACATTAGTATTCTTTGTGTTTGTATTCAAAGTACGAGACGTGTCATGCTATAAGAGACGGGTCATTTTGCTAACATAGTTTAGAACAAACAACTCGTACTACTCGGGATGATTCGTGTCTGTACATTGAATGCAACAACCCTCTTGATCAATATTTCAAACTTGTAGTTGTGAAATATTGGATAGTTCAAACCGAATTGCGATTGGTGGTTGATGTTAAGTCTCATTCATGTGGTTAGTGGTGAATTCTCTACCCTAGGATTTTTCCCGAAAATTAATATCTCGAACCCTAATTTTAGTTGTTAGTTTAATTCCTCAATTTCTTTTAATTGTTGTTTAGTTATAAAATCAATCTTATCTTTTTAATCAAAATTAATTTAGGAATTTTGTGATTGAATTAATCGAATTTCACATTTGTCCCTGTGGATCGATACCTGAACTTGTCATTATTTTAAAAGAATTTAGTATAGTTTAGTGTTTTATTTTTAGTGTGTTCAACGACCCATCAATATTGATGGTAAGCACAACAGATTGTTGGTATGCAAGCAAGCTAACTTGTCACAAGAAAAAGCCAGGAATGCATTTCCTTGTCTAGGCTTGCATATCATAACCATTTTCAGTAAGTTAAATCATAACATATGCAAAAATGCATATTCTTCATAAGAAGGGTTACACTATTGCTAACAAAATACACAAATAACAGTTCCTTCATTAAAATATGTAACGATGCAACGTATATATTGATAAGTAATGATGCAGTAAAAATATAATTCCGGTAAGTATCAAGAAGTCACTCCTTTCCAATCTAAGGATTAACAACTCCTCTGAATTTCCAACAAGATAAAAGACTATTTTTTGGATAACTGGGTATTGGGGCCAATTTGCCCACACCTTGACTAATCCTAGAGCCTTGAAGTTAATGATCAGACAAACCTCCAATGACCCCTTGAAGTGACTCAAACTCGAGACCTTGAATCTTATCCTTGAATTTTATCCTCAGAGCTTTACCACTCGGCCAATGTCTCGGGGTTAACCAGACAAAAGACTATTGATGCCACATCTATTGGATGGCTAAATAAGTATAATAGGTTGTGGAGGCCTAAAACGAAGATTATGGATTCCACAATCATCAAGAAACTCTTTTGGTTCAAATGGAAATGTCTATGGTAGTGTTTGGGTCTTAATTTGCATGGTTAAACTCAATCATCCTTATAGAGCTTAAATTGCCACATTGGCAACATTTATGAAGCACGGGTACAGATATAAGTACTGGTACTAGTATGATACGGGTACGCCGATACGGTAAAATTAAAAAAAAAAAAAAAGGTACAAGTACGGCTTGGTACGCTTGTAAAAAAATATTTATTTTTAATTTAGAGTAATGCAAAAATTAATTAAATGGTTTAATTTGTTAAAGTCCAACCTATAATTAACATTTAATGCCAAAAGTTAAAGTATAAATCAAAATTAAATGTCAATATATTAAATAACTTACAAACTATATCTGTATAGTAGAAGGAAAATATTGTTTCAATTGAGGTACGGTACGACACGACTTGGATATATATTAGGTTACGCTTGGGTATGCCAAAAATTAAGAAGAAAAAACTTGATACGTGTTTCGTGTACTCAATACGTATGCAGAAGTACCATACGAGGTACGGTACGCCGGTAAGTCCCCGGTACAAATACAGCATGTTTTTCAAAGTAGCCATGCTTCATAGGGCAACATGGCAGGCTCACACTGGGGTGCATCCACAAAACCCCCTTGTTCCAATCTCTTTTATTAACATATTTCTGGCTGCTCTATCCCTTCTCATTCCAAGCTTCTGCTTCCCATTATTTGGGTATCACAGTAATACAAAAGAAGGGGAAAATGTCTTAATAGTTGCAAAAGAAACCATTTTCTGAGTACTTTCCTGAGTCCTCCCTTTCCCAGAATCAAACTAAATATTTCATTCACATTACATTCAACATTCTAAAAAAAATAAAAATACAAAAATTGAAATCTAGAAATCGGTCCCTTTTCGAAACCAACCTAATTCTCAGTTGTTCAGAGGACTTCCACATTTTCAACCAAACTCTAAAATTAACCCAATCAGATAGCAAATCTATGAATCAAACAATTCCAATAACACACTCTCAAGGTCTTTTCAATTAAAAACAACAAATTCATATAAAAAAAAGATTACCTTGGTGATGACCTTGTAGGAGATATAAGCTTGCACGCCATTGCCCATCTTAGCAGGATCGGTGACAGAGACTGATAGAAACGGTTGTGAAGATGGAGATCTAGGGCTTTGTGATGACCCTGATAAGCTTCTTTGCTGCATATTTGGATCAAAATCAAATTATCAAAAATATATATGTATATACATACATATACGAGCAAGTAAGTATATACATATGGCGGCAGATTCGCAATTACCTGAGAAATCATGGCGTGATTTGGGAATTTTTGGGGCGATCAACGGAGGAGAGAGAGAGAGAGAGATGGTGAATTTCTAAAATAAGCCGCTGTGTGCAGTTCACTGTTCCGGTGAGTCTTCGAGAGGAAAAGTAGAAGATGACGAGCGGAAACTTTCGGTTAGTTGACTTGCACGCACCGGAGACAAGTGATTTTTTTGGCCAAGTGGCGTCGGAGTTTTTGCGGGGAAATTGCAAAGTGGGTTACTATTATTTTGGTTTTTTTTTGCTTTCAATTTTTTAAAAAATTTTAAAGTTTTTAGATTCACCAGACAAATCGAATATTTTAAAATTTGTTTAAGAATTCAGAAAATATAAAAGTAAGTAAAAAAATAGTAAATTTTTTAAATTTATTTTAACCTTTTTGAAGTTTTTTTAAAACCTTCAAATTCGTTTATACAAGATGAATGGAAAAAGTATAAATTTTGACATAATTTTTAAAAAAATTTGCTAAAAATAAAAAAATTTCGAAAAATATGTGACTTTTTTTTTATGAGATTTCAAACATGGGAAAATGGTGAGATTAAAAAAATGGAATAATCTCCCTCCATACTATCCCTCTATATCTCTCTTGGAGACTTTAATTCGGATACACATAAATGATTCAATTTCTTAGGTCTCTTTATAAATATTATAAATACAGGAACAAATCATATTTTATCTTCTAAAATAGATGATCAATACAGTTATAAAAGTAAATGATAAATATGATTGTAAGCTTAAATTATCAATTTTATAAAACAAAATGTAATTTGTTTCTGTATTTATAAATGTTTGATGAAATTAATTTTTTGTGTGAATAATTTTTTTATTGCCGAGCCTACAAGGTAGATACTTCATATCATCAATGTGAGTCTAAATTAGAGCCTATAAAAAAGTATGGATAAATGTGAAGAAATGAAGGTATGGAAGGAAACTCATCCCCAAACGAATAGGGTAAATTACAAAACAAAGTCTTCCGATTTGACCTAATAACAAATTAAATCTTAATTTTTTAATTATTTCAATTTAAACTATATAAATTCTAACTTGTCGTCAGTTATAAGGGAAGGAATTGAAGTGGTGGCAGTAGGCTGGAGAATGAAAGTAGTAATAGATGGGAAAAAAACAGATAAGAGCAATGACAATGGATTGGGGAAGGATAAGACTAGTGATGGTCAATAAGAAGGGTGAGAGGTGGTTATGAGTAATAAGGAAGTAAAAAAGAAAAAAGAAAGGGTAAATTACATTTACCTCCCTTGAGGTTTCTGACAAATACAGGGACCTCTTCTGTGGTTTGAATAATTACAGTAACCTCCCCTATTTTATCTGACAATGTCAAGATTCCCCCATTCTGTCTATTTTGCACAAACAACGTTAGTATTTTATATAAAATGACCATATTATCCTTGCTTGTGCCTGCAAAAAGACGAAAAACCCTTTTCTTCAAGACAAACATCACTGCCATAAAGTAAAAGACAAAAAAACCTTTTGCTTTGACCAACACAACCATAAAATAAAATAATTTAAAAATATTTATATTAAAAATGACACATTTAAAATAAAAAATAATTTTTTAAAAAAATTTTAATATTTAAAAAATATATTTAATCAGGATTTACATGTAATTTTCTTTCTTTTTTTTATAGATAATAATAAATATGTGGGCTTGGTTTAGCATTCAACTAATAAATCCGACATTTCCCAGTTTGAGCTGACCACAGACGGAGCTTATTCTAGAATCTTAAATTGTCAATTAGCTCAACTCAACCTCAATGTAACTGAAACGCCACTCTCCCAGTACCTACCATTTGGTACCTCCCCATTTTTTTTGTTTCAAACTACAAGCAAACACCTTCCCATAAATCTGAATATGAAGAAGAACTAGTCACATATTCACCAACACTGATCAACCCAGTCATGTTTCATCAAAACCATTTTCATCCATAATGATAACAAACATGGATTCCACGGAGTTCTGCAATATGGGTATAGCTTCAATTGTTTTCTTCATCTTCTTAGACATGGTTGTCATTGCACAAACCATACCCACCACTTTACAAGGCCCATTTACGCTTGTGACTCACAGTTTGGATCCATCATTGCGTCTCGGCAGTGATGACTTGCCTATGGATAATCCTAGGCTGAAGAGGAATGTGACTGCAATGTTTCCAGAGCAGATTGCTCTTGCTTTATCTTCGTCGTCTTCAATGTGGGTTTCTTGGGTTACTAGTACTGGTCTTAACTATGGGTTTTTTTTTTTTTTTTCAATTGACTGAATGGTGTGTTTGTTGAATTGGTTTTGTTTTGATTGGTTTGGTTTTCAGGGGATTCTCAGATTGGTCTTAATGTGACTGCCCTTGATCCATCAACTGTTGCTAGTGAGGTGTGGTATGGGAAAGAAAGTGGGAATTATTCGATGAAGATGACGGGGGTTTCTACGGTTTACAGTCAATTGTACCCATATGAGGGTCTTTGGAATTACACCTCTGGCATCATTCATCATGTGAAAATTGATGGTAAAGAAGTAACACAACTCTTTTAATTATTGCCTTTTCGATGCTTAATGTACTCAATTCAAACATAGCAGTTAAGAAAAGATATAAAGATAAAAACATCAAACAAGAAATTATCCCTTTACTTGATCCGATAAAAAGGCACTGTGATAGGGAGTATTAGGACTGGTGATTTAGGCAATAATCATTTGATTAATCATGGAAGTCCTTTAGTATGAACCTGCTCTGGCAATGCCCCAAATCTGCCATATGGCTGTTCAATATGAATTTTGGTGTTAATGAACACTGCATACTCCATACAGGAGTTAAAACAGATGACCCTTACATGGAAATAAGGATTTGTGTTGTTGATTAGAAAACTTAAGCTTCTGTACAACTAATTTCCAAAATAATCTATGTTTTTCAACAAGAAAATGGAGTGTGGTTGTGAGTTATATAATAGTTCCTTCCCATTCTTAGCACTGAATTTCAGAATTGGATCAATTGTTGTGTATTCTTCACCTATTCATGCTAATCTGGTTAGGTCTTCCAATGTTTGAATGTATTCATATATTTATACTTAAGATAAATGTTTGAAACTAGTTCAATTCAAAACCAAACCACTATACTATTTGCGAGATGGTATAATGCTGCGACCCCATTGATTGTGGGATGCGGCTAACGTAATTGTCTATACCCTCTCTTTTACGATAATCTTTGTAATTCTTGCATTTACAAGCCGCGCTTCTGCTGTTCACATTCTGGTAACCTAAAATTTGCAATGTATGAAGTTTGTATTTATTTATCATTACCACCACAAATACTAATTGGGCTTATTTTTGCAGCCAAGTTATTGTTTAAATGCATACACCGGGCACCCTAATCATGTTATATCCCTGGATTTCCATCCCAAGAAGAACGATCTTTTCTGTTTTTGTGATAGTAACAATGAAATTCGCCATTGGAACATCAATCCATTCACTTGCGCTCGTGTTTCTAAGGTTGGATTTTGTAACATTCTCTTTTGTTTCACATGTCTCCAAAGTTCTACTGAAGTTGCACTGTATTATCCTTGAGTTTTGATTATCTGTTACTTGGTGTAGCAAGGAGGCAGTGCTCAGGTGAGATTTCAACCAATAAGTGGACATGTACTGGCAGCAGCATCAAATAAGGTGGTGTCCATCTTTGATGTCGAAACTGATAGACAAACTCACGCATTCCAGGTTTGTATTTGTCTTCTATTATTCCATTGATGATTATGTTCTGTATTGAGATTATGTAATCATTCACGTGGTGTATTGAGATTAGATTGTGGATCACCTTGCAAAAATTATACTTTTAAAGACAAAATGAAGGAATTTAAAAAATATATATTTAATTATGTTATTACATTTTTTTGACGAGTCTGTTTGGTTTCAAAAGATTTAGTAGCTTTTTATTTTCAGTTGGCCCCAATAAACTCTTAACTCATATATTATTTTATTTTCAGAATTTCAATAGTTGGGATTTCCCTCTTTGAAGAATGGCTGTCTCTTTGAATTTATATTGTGTTTAACTACATAGCATTTTATAGCATGAAGGCACCTGGTTGAGTTTGATATATGTTTTTGCAGATTTTATTGAGGGAATAGTTGATATGATCAAGCGGGTGATGTTGGGAGCCAAAGATTATGTTGCTCTTTTTTTTTTTTTTTTTGAAGACTTGAATTTTTTAGTACAGTGTATTTAAGGATGGTTAATGGATAATGTCTATTATAAATTTAATTAATTTGTTAATTTTGTTATTTTTCATTAACAAAAAATTGTTTGGTGCTTGTAATTAATTTTTTTGTTGTAGCAAACCCGTATATGATTTTGTTTTTAAGAAATAATTATTTGCGACAGTAAAACAATGGTCGCTAAAAGTATTTTTTATTTTTTTATTTTTTTATTTTTTTTGCAACAGCAAAATAGCTGTCGCAAAAAATAGTTTAGGTGGTCGCAAATAATTTGCGACCGTTGTTTTGCCGTCGCAAAAAGTATTTTCCACCCCCACATTTGCGTCCCCCATCTACGGTTGCATAGGCCGTCGCAAAAAGTCTTTTGCGACTGTATTTTTATTATTTGCGACGACTTGTGGCGGTCGCAAAAAGTGTTTTTTTTAGTAGTGGTAATTATATATACATCACTATTTCACTGTATTGGACACATGAAATAAATAAGAATAAAATGTGCATTTTGATATAAAAATATAGTTTTTTATTTTATTTTTTCTATATCATATGACTAGCGACATATTGCTAAAGACGATGTTAATTAAATTTTAAGAAAGTTAAATGTAATTCTCATAAACTTATAAAATTTGATGTATTTTTTTTAATCAAGAGAAGTTTGTTTGTTTGTTTGTTTGATTTTGATTGAATTTTTTTTAGTGAATTTTGTAATATTTTAACCATATTTTTTATTTTTTAAATGCGTTTAACCTATATGTATTTAAAAATAAAATATTTGTGCAAAATATTTTAAAAAATTAACAAATATAAGAATACAAAAAAGGTATTGAGATTTTGTATTTTTTTTTATATTTTGGTATTTGGTGAATTTTTAAAATATTTGTTCACAAATGTTATAATTTTTAAGTGTATTGGTGTATCTAAAAATAAAAAAAATTGATTAAAATATTAAAAAATTCAATGAAAACAAAAAAAATAAAAGATTTCAATTTTCAAAAAGAGGAATAAACCAAACAAGGTGATTGTTTTTCTTCTAATAGGGTATTTGGGATGACCTAAATAAATGTATTTTTTAATTTTTTACAAAATAATATGCAAAAAAATAGAGGTAATATGACCCAAATAAGTACACTTAAGTGCACTAGGTTATACCAAACACCTCCTAAGTTAAGAAAAATAGTTGACTAAAAAGAGAAAAAAAAAAGAAAAAATTATAAATAAGTGGAACATTCTTAAAATAACCATAGCGCAGGGATAATTATTTTTTTTAATACAAATTTGACACACATATGACCCAAATAAGTACACTTAGCCTGTGTTTGGCAAGTGGGTTTGCAGGCTTTTTTGGCTATTTTAGCCACAAAAAACAAAATAGGCTATTTTAGTCATAACAAACAAAACATTACATCCAACCCATAATCATTACATTCTTCTCTCACAAAAAAATTCAAAAAATCCAAAAAACCAAAAAGTCTTTGCCAAACCAAACTTTTAAGCCTAGGCTAAATAGCTAAAAAAGCCAAAAAGCCAAAAAGCCAACCCACTTCCCAAACGGAGGCTTAAGTGCACTAGGTTATACCAAACACCTCCTAAGTTAAGAAAAATAGTTGACTAAAAAGAGAAAAAAAAAAGAAAAAATTATAAATAAGTGGAACATTCTTAAAATAACCATAGCGCAGGGATAATTATTTTTTTTAATACAAATTTGACACACAAAATTTACACCAAACACAAGAAAAACTTCCATTGCGTTTGGTTTAATTTTGAAATTAGTTTTGAGTTTTGAGTTTTGAAAATTGAACACTTGTTTGCTTATGAGTTTTGAAAATAATTTTTAAAAAATTGAATTAAAGAAATGTTTAGTTATGAGTTTTCAAAAATAATTTTTTTCTAGTAGTAAAACTTTTTTGCAATATTATAGTCAAACTGTTTGCTTCTTTTATATACCTAATCTAAATTTACTTTTTAAATTCATCTAATCTAATTTATAGGGTAAAGTTTCACTCCATATTGATTATTTTTAATGAACGTTTTAAAATTTTCAACACTTCTTTTCTGGTTTTATATCCACTCAATTTACATATATTTAAAATGTTTCATATTTAAATGCAACTTTTAAAAAAATTATTAAATAATGAAAAATATACAACAAATAAATAAATAAAAATTTATCCAGTTTAAAAATTAATACAATTTTAATGTTTATGTATTTATTAAATTTATTTTTACGTTCTTTACATTTTATTTACTGTTTAAATATATTTAGATCATATATATCTAAAATGAAAAATTATTTAGTCAATTTGTGGAAATCATACAAAATTGATTTTGCAAAAACCCTAAACCTAACATGTTTTGAATTTTAAGTTTTGAAATGAGTTTTTAAAAATTCTAAATCAAACAAGTTTGGATTTTAAGTTTTAAAAAATTGATTAAAATACCAAACTAAACGGAGCCTTATAATATATGCACAAAAAATTGTACCACTATAAAAATGAATGATTGGTTTGATTTTCATAATTTTTTTTTATAAAAAGACTAAAAAGTAATTTGATAAAAAAAAGAAATTATCATTTTTATATAATTTTATTTATTTGAAAGATAAAAATAATTTTAAAAAATATTTATTATTTATATATTTTTTATTAAATTAATTTATATTTAAAAAATAAAAAATAAATTCAAAAAATCAAATCAACCGAATAAAAAATAAAGTGGGTGGTGAAAGTGACATGGAGAGAAATGGGTTTATTGGGAGTGACGAAGGAGATTGGGTTTTGCAAATAAATCAACTTTTTAGAAAGAAAGAAAGACGAGTGAGTGGAAAGTGTGCAAACCAACTAGAAAACCTGTGGCGAAACTGCACCGCTTGCTTCCCTTACCAGGCTCGTCTCCTCTACATTTATGCTTCTTCCTGAATATTTGCAATTGCTTTTTACACAGCTCTTAATAGTAAACAATTGACATTTGCCTAACAATTTACTGGATAACAAGAAATTGGCTTTATAATAGTTAACGTGAAATTGACATTTGCCTAACAATATGCTATAATTCATTAGATTAATGATTTATTGGAATAATTTTTTTATACTTCAATATACACAATTGAGATTCTTGCTAGTAAGAGTATAAAAAATAGGAGACTTTTAGTGGTAACAGTCTCAATTGTTTGCATTTAAATAAAAAAATAGTGTGAATGAAATAATACTGAATTCATTAATATCAACAAAATGGCTTAATTCCTTGAGTTTGGTCTAGTGATTTAGGCCCCGTTTGGGGACTTACCTTTTTAGTCAAAAAGCTAAAAAATTACCCTTTTAGTCAAAAAGCCAATAACTCATACTAAAAAGTCGAAGATTCTCTTTTCTCTCTACTTTTTGTACACCTTTTCGTAATTAGCCAAAAAGTCATCCCAAACATATAAGTTTTTTTTACTTACTTTTTTAGCCAAATAGTAGAAAAGTTACTAAGTTAGCCTGTTTCCAAACGAGGCCTTAGTCACATCTTAGAATATAATAAGAGAAATATTAAAGGTTCAAATTGATGGCGTGTTACAAGCGACTTAAGTGATGCATCAAGAAGCGACTTGAGTTGTACGTTAGATTGGGCGGCTTAGGTGGTTCAATATCACCATGCTTACCATGATATAGAGAAAGAGATCATCACGAAGTGATAGTGAAAGAAAATATAATAACGAAATGAGTTGAGGTATGGCGAGCGACTAAAGTGAGATTGTTGTACGCCGGTGAAATAAAATTACTAAATACTTAACTTAATTCTGATATTAAAAAGAATAAAAAAAATTATTTTTATTATAATCTAATTTTACTAACAAAATAACATTTTATAATCTTGACAAAAACAAAAAGCCTAGAAAATTATGAAGACGACTTCAAGAACTTTCATTCGGTCGTTCAACAAATACGACGGATGCAAAAGTTGTTTATAGATGTACCACACAAGAAAAAAAATAAAGAAAAAGTTGTTTACAGAAATCAACCGTAGCCGATACGCCCTCTCTAGATAAAGATCGATTTGGGTATTGTTTAAATTTGCGGGACCCACAAAACATAGGCCTTGTCAGAGACGACGGAGACCTGTGGGCCTCACTTTGGACTTTTATGTACCCATTTTTTTCATCCTCGCAGGAAAGCAAAGTAATAAAACATATTAATAAATAATATGACATAATTTTAAAAATTTTAATTTTTTATAATTTATAATTTTAAAATAATGATATTATATATATTAATTAATGTATTAATATTAATTATGACATTATTATTAATTTTATTCATTAATCATAATATAAATATTAAAAATTATTTAAATTATATTAAATCATCAATTAATGATACATATAATATTATTTATTTTAAAATCTTAATGTCTAAACATATATTAATATTTTAATTAATATATTAATTAGTCCATACACGGAAACCAAAGACATCCGGTACTGCTCACCTTTACGACGCTCCACCACGTCATCCCCGTTGTCCAACACTGATCACTTCCTCCTCTACATCTCTCTTCATCTTCATCGTTCATTATTAAAATGGCCCCACATAAGTTTACAGGATCCAAACACGTACGGACCTGATTATCTAGAATTTATTGGGTGGTCCTATGTACTCCTCCTTAGTGCTCTAATGGCGTCGTAATTAACAGCGGGGTGTAGTGTACGAATTTATATTAAATAATTAGAAAATATAAAATATATAAAAATTTATGATCGGTGGAAGATAATGTCACATGACATTATAAAGTACTGATTAATTTTTTTTTTATTATGAGGCATTTTAAAAAAATAATTAAAAATTAATTTTTTTACTCCCTCCATCTCATAATATTAGTTCCTTATTCTATTTTTTATTGTCCCAAAATATTAGTCTCTCTTCAAAAATCAAGTACAAAAATAATATAAATTTCCCATTTTGCCCTTTTTTTAAATTCATAAATAATATAAAAAGTACAATTATGACATTGATATTCTCAAAAAAGTGTACTATCAAAGGGTAGTTTTGGAAAACTAACTTTTTAAAAGTACAATAATTGTCCTACCAAAAAAAGTTAAATTCTCCAAAAGGAACTATTATTTTGGGACGGAGGGAGTAATTTTTTTTTTGTGTAAGATGATATTACTCAAAATGCTGACCTTTTTTTTTTTTTTTTTTTAAGGTTCCCAAATGGCCCCTATCTCAACATATCTCTGTGAGTCACAGAGAATCCAATGCACCTTTTCAACTTCTCTGTATCCATCTTTCTCTGTTATTTATCTCCTCTGCGAGTTTTTCTACAATCCCTTGCATAGCTCTGACACCAATGGAGACAAACGGCGTCGTTTTCTTCCACCATCGTCGATCGCCTTCCTCCGATCGTTTCCTCGACGTCTTCTCTCCGCCCAATTCGGACTCCTCCGCCTCCGGCGGCGGCAGCTTCTCTCTCACCGGCGACGAACTCAACGAAGCAGAAGTCTTCTGGACCGGCGATTTCACCGAGCCAAACAGCCGGTCCACCTCCCCCACCTTCAAGAGCCAAAATCACAGTCGACAGTCCTTCATCGAACCGGAAAATTTCGGCATCCTCGCTGCATTGCCGGAACATCACCGGAAACCTAACCGCCCTGTACTGTACCGGAAACCTTCAATCACGCCGTCGTCGCGGTTGTTTCCGGCGATACCGAAACCTCCGCCGCAGGAGAGAGAGTACTCTCAGTCCGTACCGGCTCGGAAGTTTCAGCAATCAGCTCCGGTTAGGGTTCCGATCATGCAGAAGAAGGTCCGGAACGTGGTGGAGTTGGATGATGAAGACGACGAGGAGATGTTGCCGCCACACGAGATCGTCGCGAGAGGATCGGCGAGGTCGCCGAAGACCACGTTTTCGGTGCTGGAAGGCGCTGGGAGGACGCTCAAGGGAAGAGATCTGCGTCAGGTCCGCAATGCTGTGTGGCACACCACAGGTTTTCTCGACTGAGAACTTTCCAGATTTTGGATTAATTTTGGTTTTTGGACTGAAAAGTGTTTTTTGTTAGCTTTCACAGTCTCTTATATATATATATATGTATGTATGTATTAAGTTTTGTGTTGAATGTTGAACTGTGATGTTGAATATGTCACAAGTATCATAGAATTTTGCTGGGGGTTTGTAATTGTTGTATCAGTTTTACAGGTTTTGGGCAATCGATACTAGTTTATGAATCATATGAAAATTTGATGTGATCGGATATAGAAATTAGTGAATACTTTTTGTTTTGTTTTGGTGGAGGCATGTTAATGGGTTGATATCTACTCTAGTCATGTTATTGTTGTGATTGTTTCCTTATTTATTTATTGAAAAAGAGTGATCGTGGTTTCAATTGGATTTCTTATAAATAGACATAAAAATTGCAGTGGTGCTAACCTTGTATCTAGAAGATAAGTCAAGTAAGAAAATTTGTTTTTGTATAATATTTTCTTTGGAAAAATGGTATTTAAATATGAAATTTCATTCAAACCGAGGTGGCAGTGACATTTCCGATGTTATTTACATATATGGATTTATTTTTTTGATTATATTTTCTTATTTTTAAACTTAAAAATGTAACGTGCCTATATTAATAAATAAATATAGGTGAGATCGTAATAAAATCAAGGAAGTAATTTGTATGTGTATGGTATTTTTCTTCTAAAAAATGGTACTATTCAAACATGAAATTTCATTCAGGACGATGTGGCAGTGCCATTTCTGTTTTTTATGGCCCACAGTGATCGATGTTTTGTTATGAAATGAGACTACCATAAAGAGCCACATCATTTGTATAAAAATTTTGTTTGCATAACATTACTTTTATAATTTATTTATTATTTGAGAGATATATATGGAAAAATGAATTATAGTTTGGGGCAGATGTAGGCATTTATTCTCTGCGGTAAATACAATCAAGTTTGAAGTATACTGAAAGTTAGTTGCTATCTTCTTGACTATTCATTAGTTGCTATTTGCTTGACGGAACCAGATTCTGTCCGGTCCACAAATCTCTCACACAAGCACCTGGGCTCGCACACCTGCACGAACAGACACACAGACTGCATGCACGCATGCATGTTGTGAGTGTAGACAGCATGATCCCGATTTTAAGCATTTGGTTTTGGGGAAATCAGGTAAAGATTCAAATTCTGGGAGCCATATTCTGAGCTTAGTTCATAAGATTTGTGTGTGTTATTTTATTTTTTTTCTTTTGCCTCTTCTTGTCTGAAGTAGGAACATTTCCCAAACTAAAATTATGTGTGCCTGCATCTTTGTATTCTCACATTCAAGTAGTTAGATTGTAATGTCTGCAGGCAGTCATACTGTAGGCTTGGGATTGAATCCCATCTTCGTTAGGGGTGGGAGGTTTATGGAAAGTTGCTATGAATGTGCCTACACAATCCTCTCTTGTTCGAGCAAAAAGTAGGTTTTATTAAAAAGAATTTTTGCATGTATAAGCGGCAAGAACATTGGAGTAATCCGCTAAACGGCAGCGACGTGCTTGAATGCAACCCAAAAGTATGTTAAGTCACGGAAATTGCCTTGGTGATTTGTTTTAATGGTCCTTCCCCATTTATACATGACCTGTTTTACGGCACCTAATCGTTTTTTCATTTCAATAATATTTAAAGATAGTCTATGAATTCTGTAAAACTTGATATACTTAATGCAACCAAGCATGCAAACACCATTTATGGTTCTAGTTCAATAAATGGTGTTGGCTGTTTTGTTTGTTTTTGGTTTTTGGTTTTATTTTTTTCGCTTTTTCTTTTATTTTTAGTTTAGGTTTTGACTTTCAGATTGAGATGTTTCCAACAGACATGATTGCAATGCTAATGGTAAGCAAGATCAATCTCTCGCACATGCTCCTTTTGCTTCCATTTCAGGGTAGTTGTTCATTGTCCTTTGATGGTAGCTATTTTTGTTATGTTGGTGATGATATAAATCAAATGTTTAGCTGCTGAACCTTAAGCCTTGAACTGGTAAATATGGGTGTCGCCGTGTTGGGGCATGTAATTTGTTTGTGGCCCCTTTACTCTGTTTTATTGTTTGGGTGGTTTTCAGCTTGATTTGTTCTCTTCCCCATTTCTCTTCTTCTTTACTAGCAGAGTAGGTATAACTTTAATCACAAACTAGTAAATTTTTCAATGAGCTAGATGAGGATGAGTGAAGACATATGTTTTGTTCTTGAGAATTGCCAAATAAGATTTTCACTCTTGTGAAAAGACCAAAAAGGCTTAGCTGTATAGGTACAAGACACCATATACTTGTTTTGTTTATGTTCATGGTGATTAATGTCTAAGTTGATGTGTGAGGTGTGCTGAGGTTGTCTTTCTGTCGTTGGATCCTACGGCTAGAGGGTTTGAACCAAACCTATGGATTGGGATATTTCGGTATGAGATGGAATATGTGAATTAATCTTACGTGTTACATGGTCTTTTTGCATATTGGTCAAGTTTCTAACAATGTTGGGTCAAATTGAGTCGGCTTTGATTTGGTTTGGCCCAATAGGTTGAACACAATTTTTCAACATTGAGTAACTTCAAAGTTAATTGATTAATTTTATTTGGGTGATAAAGAGGCAATTTAATAATTACTATTTTAAATTCTCTCTTTTTTTTTTTCTTTTTTTTTTCTTTTTTTTTTTATAATTGGTTTGTCATTGAATTTACTATTTAGGGCTATTATTTACCCTTTATTTCTTTGGATTCTTCCCATTTCTTTGAACCCTACCCACTTAATTGAGTCCCTTTCATTTTCTCTTTGAACCCCCACCTTAATCCCAACTACACCCACTTCATCCCTAACCTTCTAACCTTAATTTTCCAAATCCTAACCCTAATTCCTACCCTACCTAACTAGCCATTCCCATCACCTCCGGCAGCTACCATTACTTTTGGTCGTCACCACCCCTCTTTTCCCACTTTCACTCACCTCTCCCCGACTCCCCCCAACCCTTCCCATGTTTCAGCGAGAGAGACAAAGAAAGAGATCACAAGATAGACATAGAAAAAGATGAGAGAGAGATCTGGTTGTGTTTACCATCCTCCATTCCTTTGTAGCTCCAGCGTTACCCATCTCCATCTCCAGCACCATCCCCTCAGTTCCTTGCCCGCCATCGTTGTACTCAACCTAACCCTTCTCGTGGCTCTCCTCGTCACGGTGAACATCTTCTCTTCTTCTCTCTCACATGACTCCTCTCTTCGTCAATTTTTCTCTCTCTGTCTCTCTTCTCCGTCAATCTTTCTCAACATCGATCTTTGTTTATCTCAATTGGGGGTTGTGCAAGTGAGCTAACAATGGACGCGGTGTTGCAAGGTTGGTGGCATTGAAATGGTTGAAGGAGATCGAAAAAGGATGGGGTTCAGCGGATGGGCTAGGGAGGGGCGGTGATAGTGAGGTGGAGGGTTCCAGTTGGATCTGGTGATGGCGGGGAGACTGTCAGTCGGAGTAGAGTGGATTGGAGATGGAGGTGAGATTAGGGTTAGAGTTAGAGTTAGGGTTAGGGTTAGAAGGATAGAGAGGGGGTCAAAAATAGAAATTGATATTAGGGTAAAATTGTAATAAAAAAATAGAAGAGGTAGAGGTTCAAAGAAAAAAGGCAGAGGCATTTAGTAGCCTTCTTACTATTTGCTAGTAGAAGAAGCTTGTAAATTATTTTCAATAAGGCTAGTTCAAGGAGGGCATAACCAGGCTTTGCTTGATATATTTGGTTTGTAAATTCATTTGTAAACCAAATAAAGCTTTTGCATTTCCTTGTTAGCTTTATCCTACTTCCATGTCTGTCTCATTGGATGTTGATGTGTTGCCTTGTAGCTAATAAACTGTTTAGAATATTTTGAAATGTTTGCTATTTCTTTTAAGTTAGTTTTATTAATATCCATCTAAGCATTCTCATCCCAGTGTTTGGAAACACCACATATAAGCCAATGTTTTTTCCAAAAACAGGCAAAAACTAAAAATTACACACACAAAAGTATATGGGATGAACCAAAAAAAGCAAGAAATTTATTGCGACAAAATGATGAATTTATTGTCCAGTAATACTACAAATTCAAAATTTACTCAGAAATAACAATCAATGTTTCAAATTCATTTCGATAGTAGACTTTTATTTCATCAATTTAATCTCCATCACATATACTCATTCTGAATAAATTCTAGAATCTTAATTCTGAGATTCCAGACTTTTCCATTTACCCTCCTTGTCCCCGTCACTGTTCAAAGACCAAGGGTACAATGGAAAACAATAAGAAAAATTTGTGATGTGATATCATATTTTATTTTTTCAAACAACTAAAAAGGTTAACAAATAAGTAATTTCAAAACATCTTAATAAAAATATTATTAAAAAGTCAAAATAATTAAATATGTAAACTCAAAAGACCACTAAAATTACTTGCATTCATTTTATAAAATGTTTGTTTGTTTGTTTGTTGCTCAACAATCCATTATAGTAGTTGTTTTGATCTATATCTATCTTTTTATCTATTTATACATTTATACTATTATTAAGTGAATGCTAAAATTGGTTTAGTAAGCAACTTTTGAATCAAAGACCTGAAGTTTTATTGAGAACATACATATTACTTAAGTAACATACATATTATGATATTAAATTATTTATTATTTATTTTTATTATCAGTTATCTGAATTACACAATTATCATAAAGTAAACACACTTGATGGTGTTTTGAAGTCTTCTTTTCTTATGTTGTTAAGTGTCTATTACCTTAAGGTCTAATGAAGAAATTTTTTTACCACTTGAGGGACAAATAATACATAGTAAATATTTTATTTTGTTTTTATTTGTTTGAAACGTGTGCTAACACTAGTAATTATTAAAACACCAGTAATACTATAAATTCAGACTTAATTATTGAGAATTATCATCTTGTGGTTTAAATTTATTTTACATATATATCTTATACTATACAAATTTAATCTTAACCACACATGTTCATTCGAAATAAATTGAGAGTAGTTAAAATGGTGTTCATAGACTTATTCTTAAAACACAATCAACTTGCAAACCAGTTGGACTAAAGTTGTGTTATTGGATTTGATGGGTTATCATTTTTTTAATTAAGAGGGAATGAACTTTTCCAATTTTGTATACAAAAGCTATGGGTCGTTTTGAGAGTTCATAATCTGCTTAAACCTAATGGGCCGGCCTGTTAAACAAATTTCCTGGGCCTGATGGCCCTTTTACCATTTTACAATTTGAATAGGATTGGGCAACCTCCACAACACATCCAAT